CCCCCTTCAAAAGCAAGGGCAACAACGGAAAGAAAGATCAACCAGCTGTTTCTGATCTGATCTACTTCTAGCATGTGATTGTGGCTGGTGCAACTCCATCCACTCCCTACATAATCCACCACGAACCGACAAGGGGGTACGTTTGATGCTTGCTAGCTGGCAGCAGCCGGCGTGGATCGATCCAAACCTCCGAACCTGCAACTGAAAACTTTAAAAAGTTCTTCGATCAGAGCGGGTTACTATTACTATTTCGATAAACAAGACACAAGATCCTATTCAGGGGTTCAGCGTAGGATGGATGACACGCAGCTGCGTTGCGTTTGTCACACAACTCGGTGCCGATGGCTTGGGACTTCGGGCATCTGAAAATGGCATCATCAAACCATGGCCAATCACCAGTTTTGCAGCCGGACGCCGCGAAATAAAGCTCGTTCTTTAAGCCAAGGCATGCAACATCAGATCTGTCTGGCACGTGAACGATGAGCTTTTCCGTTCTGCTTCACCTCTATGCCCGGAAAGATACGAGGCCAGAGTCAGCATAAGGCGCCATTACCTAGGTAAAAGCCTGTCGAAAGCTTCCATGTTGGATGGACGGAGGGCCTTGGCGCTAAACGCTACAACTCCGTGTTGTTGGACCAAGAGTTGGGCTCGTCAGCATTTGTCCCCCCCATCTCCGGCTTCTCCTTTCATGCCCTGTTGCACAGATGGTGTGCTTTTGCATAAGAGTGGTTTGCCTTTTCTTTCATTTTCCTCTACGTATACGGAACGTCAGGTGAGATGTGACGCATAACGCACGACCTGCGTTGCCGCTCCCCAGCAGCAGCGAGTCAGTCTCTACCCGCAGCACAGTACGGAGTGAATCAAACGAGCACATTCATCATCAGGCTTGTGAGTGCCGAGAGCTGGGACCATGGCTGAATAGATAAGGACGTTTCCCCAAGCTCAGCTTTCCCATAAATCAGCCGAACACCCTTCAGGCAGGGGGATCTGCTCTGGTGCGAGTGGAGTCAAAGGAGTTGCGCCTCTTCTCCCATCTTCCCGCCTGGAGAGAGGGCTGACTGATCATCGATCCCGAGCGATAAGGCGGATGACAAGAAAATACGACGCCAGCCAAGATGTACTGCATGTGCAATCCCAGTTGTTGCGTCGAATTGGTCGGGTCCAGCGAGAGATAGCGCCCAAAGCACGCCGCAACAAGCGCCAACATCGTTCGCCATCCCGGGACAGCTTTGCCCTGTGGTATCATCGTCTCTTCAGGCGTTGGGCTGCGACATCTTCCAATGGGCTGCGGACGGCCCGGGTTTTATCTGCCGCGGGATACATGTGAGCCTGATGAATAGTCCTTCTCCAATGTCGGATACTCCCAGTGGAGTGGAGCATGTATCCGTAGTCAATCAAACAGCACAGGCTTCAAGACAGGATTGGGTGCCAATTGCTGCAGATACTAAGAGCAAACGGCACCGGGAGCGTCGAATTGAGCCGTGAGGGACATCATTGGAGAAAAGCCTCATCCGACTGCAGATGCTCGGGACCCTGTATCCGGATGAACCGCTTACGAGCAACCCTGTGCCAAAACAGGAAATGAAACGCAAGCAAAAAAAGAATTGACAAACGGTGAAGAAGAAGAGGGAAACCAGCAGAGAAAAAAGAGCAGTCGGTCGTGCTGCTGCGGTTGGCTGTGAGCGAATCGTGCTCTTCCTGCTTTTTCCCTTTCACATGTCGAAACACACGGAACCGGATCCCTGTCCGCTAGGGAAGTGTGGCTGAAGCAGCCAAGCACCAGCCAATCGCGGCACGGCACCAAGCTGCAAGCCTCACACGTTTTGGGCAGCTTGGAGTCGCCGCTTTCACATGCCTTTTCCCCCCCTCTCTCTGCACTTCCCTTTGGCGGCCCAAGGCCCTGGAGGGGCTCCTTTTTCTGCATGGGAAAACACATGCACACTGACCACAAGTACCGTTCGCAGGAGGGCGCTGCGGCAGAGACACCAAACGCCGCGTACAGGGTACTTGTGCGTTATCAATACATCATCCCCGGTGGCGCGCCCTCTGCCAGTTGGGAGGGGAGGAATCCGCGGGAATGGGGAATGCGGAATGCTCATTAATAGGCATCCGCCCCGTCCTTATCGCCTGCTGCTGCTCTTCTCTCGCCCGGCTCGCTCTGTTTGCATCCCTTTCATCTCATCCTTCTTCTCATCTCTGCCATCTGCCTCATCTCGTCCACCATCGACACTCCAATTCTCGACCTCTTCCGCGTCAGCCAGCACCAGAGTCGCAGCGCTTGCCGGCCTCTGTCAACCCTCAGCCTCACCTACCTTACACCTAGTACTCGGTTATCCATACTCTCACTTCTGACATCACAATGCCTGCCCCTCAAGTCAACGGCGATGTGTCAAACCACATCTCATCCGCCTTCCTCCAGGTACGCATTGCCAAACAAAAGCAACCCCTTTGTTGTCCTACAATCGGGAAACGGATTCCCGTGGTACGGCGCTTTGGTTGGGTATTAACTCGTTTCGCAGCATCTGCTCTCGTATCCCCTGGTCAGCGACAGTATTCACACCGTGACCTCCAACGAACTCGCGCAAAAGTCCATCAAGCTCGGAGACTCTGCTTATCGAACCTTCGCAGCCCCTGTGCTCCCCTACCTCTCCAAACCCTATGGTCTCATCTCTCCCTACTTCCAAAAGGCCGACTCCCTCGGCGACCAGACCCTGGACCGCATTGACGAGCGCTTCCCCATTGTCAAGAAGCCCACTGGCGATCTCTACAACGAGACGCGTGGCCTGATTCTGCTTCCCTACCAGAAGGGCCTCGAGGGCAAGGAGCACGTCTTCAAGGTCTATGCTTCCGAGCTTAAGAAGCTCGAGCAGGACGGCGTAGTAGCCCAGGGCAAGGCTGCTGTCTCAACCGCCTTTGTCGTCAGCAACGAGACGCTGGCCTGGTTGAGCAACTTGGTTGCCGTCAAGAAGGCCGAGGCCTCTGACGCCACCAAGGAGAAGATCAACCAGTAGGCGAGTTCTCACGGGGTGTACCAGCGAAAAGCGCATTCTCTTTTCTTGTTTGACCGGCGCTCCTTTTCCATTTTCATTTGTTTCCACCTGCTTTTTGTCCAGCTTCTTCCTCTTCGTTGTCATCGTGTCGGCTTTTTTTTCTCCGTCGTCCAAATGTCGTCTTCTGGTGCCAGTCTATTTCGCATGCGATGAGAAGCGCCTGGAAACAGGAGGGACGGAGTAGAGTCAATCGGCTGCGATTGGGCTTCTACAGCCGGCATCGTCATTGCCTGTTTCCCCGGCGGCCAAGCTCTGACGCATCTTGCTCCGATTCGATTCGATTCTCATTCCACTCCTTGTTTCGCTATACTATCAATCTACCGCTTGCATTTTCGGCCTTGACGATACCTGGGAATTGAGGCGAACGGGGACCTCGATTCCACCGGCAATGGGTGGCGATTGACCTGCTTCTAGGACGGGAGGGTTTTCGATACGGGACACTTGACTCTTCTTTGTTTTCATGTATGGGCCATTATATGGAAGGACGTAAAAAAAGGGTAGAATACCAATGGGAGTTTGCTTTACCAGTCAAGAATCCGTGACACTGAGACTGTCCAACACTGTCCGCTTCCCTCGTCGATCATGTGATGGGTACCGCAGAACTCTTCAATGCAACAAAGAAGGGAAAGAGGGTGCTGAGTAAGAGTTCCCAAAACGTTTGCGAGCTCTTACACATTTTCGAACAGCAGCTGCTGATGTAAAGGTGACTAATTGTGGAGCCCGGATTTATTAACATCGCCCCTCTACTAGCATTATCCATCTCGAAGATAGCTCCCAAGCTTGGCTTCAAGCAGGTTGTTAATGATATAAGGTAGTTTCTTGATAATGCGGCATTACGGAATTGTACAAAACACCGAGAAACTTCTCTCTTTATATTGCTGCAGCTGCCCCTCCCCCAGATAAAGCCCGTTGGACTGCTGTATATAAAGTCGTTGATCTTCGCGAATCTCTGTGCACATGAAGCTCTCCCAGATCATCCTTGCAATCGTCATTGGACTAGCATCGACAGTGCTATATCAACATCGAGAAGGCGTATCTGACATCGTATCACTTGCCATTACTTCTCTCACGACCCAGTACAGCGACTTGTTTCTCAACAGAGCATCCAACGAGACTATTCCGGCTCAAAAGGCAGCTTCATCTTCTGAGGCAGAAACCAGCTTTCCCAACCAGGGCCACTACTTCTCCGAACAACAACTACAACACAACCTCACAGCCACCGAAATGTCCATCCCCCGAGCCATCGGCAAGGTCGTCCGCGCGATCGAGCAGCCCGAAGGCGCCGGCGCCCTCGTCCGACGATCCATCGGCACGCGCGAGCAGCGCAACTTTAGCCCCTTCCTCATGCTCGACCACTTTTCGTCCACAACCGGCGGCTTCCCTGACCAGTACGTTTTGTCGTTCCTCGTCTATATCTCGTCATTATATATCATATATATATGTGTGTGTGAGCTGACTGTTCTCTCTTTGTGTGTATATAGCCCCCACCGCGGCCAGGAAACAATCACCTACCTCCTCGACGGCGTCATCGACCACGAGGACTTCGCCGGCAACGCAGGCACCCTCCACTCGGGCGACCTCCAGTTCATGACCGCCGGCCGCGGCATCATCCACGCCGAGATGCCCCGCCAGCACCCCGACGGCCGCCCCAACGTCGGCCTCCAGCTCTGGGTCGACCTGCCCAAGGAGCTGAAGTACTGCGAGCCCCGCTACCGCGACCTCCGCGCCGCCGAGATCCCGACCGTCGACGTCGACGAGGGGCGCGCCACCGTAAAGGTCATCTCCGGCCAGAGCCACGGCGTCGACTCCGTCAAGGAGCTCGCCTACACCCCCGTCTGGCTGCTCGACTTCCAACTCAGGCCCGGCGCAAAGGTCACCCAGCCTCTGCCCCAGGGCTGGAACGCTTTCGCCTACGTCCTCGACGGCAGCGCCGTCGTCGGCGAGGGCTCCGCCGCCAGAAAGGTCGGGCAGTACGACAACATCTTCTTCAAGCAGGAGGGCGATGTCGTCCAGCTGTCAACTGAAGCCAACGCCACAAAGGACGCTCGAGTGGGTAAGTTTTGCTCTCCCTATCCCAAAACCTGTAACCCTCAGGGAAAGGGGGTTGATGCTTGATATGCAACATATTAACATATTCTCAGTCCTTGTCGCCGGAACTCCTCTTGACCAAAAGGTGGTTCAATACGGCCCCTTCGTCCTCAACTCCGAGGAAGAGGTCATGAAGACCTTTTCCGACTACCAAAGCTATGAAAACGGCTTTGAGCGTGCCAAGAACTGGAGAAGCAAGATTGGCGAACGCGTATACTAAAACAAGTACCCCCTTTGGCCTTGATCGAGGTTTTCGACCACATTTACACTTCTCTTTTCCGGCAACTTGGCGTTATCGGTGCATTCTGGGACTGCAAGTATTACAGTGAAATACCTGACGGACGTATCATGGCTTGAATGATGTTTACTACCTTAGCTCATGTTAGATAAAAATGTGTATGCTCAGTAGCAATTTGTACATTCATCCCAGACAGTGGAGCATCATCTTGCTCATCATGGCATGCTGGACCGCGTGTTGCACCAAAATTATTTATTAATGTCCTGTCAAAGTACAGCAAGAGAGCCAACCCCTTCATCCAGACCATGTCAGAATCAGGTATCCATTATGCCCGGTACACGGCAATCTTGGGGCCCTCAAGCCAGACGGACGATGCGAGCATGTGTATCAGCCCTGTCCCTGAGCTTCGTCTGATGCTCAGCTTTCCACTGGCCCGTAGGCAACAAAATTAATCACCATATCCTCAGCGCATTTCCCATGGCCCAATTAGAAAGAAATGAAAAACCACATGACTCATTAGCCCTCGTCGAATTTTCCCGGTTCATGTCCATTCACCTTGTTCCTATTTTCCTTGTCATCGAAAGATAGACTCGGCGCCGATTCCCACGCCGGGCGCGAAAGATGTTTACTAAGTCGAGGATTATGAGACAATAACAGGGTATTATATATCAAAGATGTGCAACGCGAAACATCAAAAAGGGGCCATTTGGGTGATATGCTTAGAGCATGAGGATGGCAAGACCGGCGGCGGCAATGATGCCGACGGGACCAGCAGTCTTCTGCGGAACCTGTTGATGAAGGAGTCAGAGGAGTTTACTAGTAGTATAGTCGAAGGGTCAAGACTTACACCAGCGCCAGTACTGGATGCGGCGGAAGCGCTTGAACTGGCAGTCTCCGTCGTAGTCTCGGTCGCAGTGGTTTCGGCGCCAGTAGTCTCAGTTTGCGTTGCTGATTCAGTGACTGTGGCGGTGGTCGACTTCGTGGTGAGAGTCTTGACAATGGCAGAGCTGCCGGAAGTCACAGTCGTCAAGACGCCGCTGTCAGTGCTCGTGGCGAGAGGTTCAGAGCCGGTCAGGGTAACAGAAATAGCCCCAGTAAGAGTAGTCTGTCCCGTTGTCGTGTGAACACTGCCATCGGACTCTGTAACGGCAGAGGTGAAGGTCGAGACGACTCCATTGCTCGCGTTGCCGGTGGCGGTAGCAATACCGGTCGTAATGGTCGTGCCGTCTGAGGTCACGGTAGTGAGGAGGGTTTCCTGATGACAAGTGTAAGCAAGTGAAACTCGGTCATGGCAAGATGAATAGAACTCACAGTGATAGCACCAGTAGCAGTGGCAGTGGGGAGTGTGGACACATCGGTAGCACTACCAGAGGCACTTCCAGTGCGAGTAGTGCTGCCACTTCCACCTGCAGAACTTGTCTGGATCGCAACACCAGCTCCTAAAAGGCGTCAGGGACAACTCTGGACGTTCATAGCTGAGGGAAACTCACCAGCGCATATGCTGATACCGTACTCAACAACCTTTTTGGCATCCTCAGTCGAGCAGATAGCTGCGGAGCAATCTCGGAGGCCGTAAAGGAAGTTCTTGTTGGCACAGAGACATCTCAAGTCATTCTGTTTGCAGCCGAGCTCATCAGCCTTGTTGGCGCTCAACATGTTGGCAGCGCAGGTTTGCTAAGAAGACGGTTAGTAACAGTGTATACGTAGGAAGATAGTAGAGATACTCACACCACAGGCGGCGAGGTTGGCAGAACCCTGAGCGGCAGTGGCCGCAACCAAAGTGCAAAGGGCGATAACGACGGATTTCATCTTGACGATGTTGCTGTCAAAAAGATGACTTGGGTTCTGTAAAGGGAGCGGCTCCGTTAGCACAAAAGAAGGTCTGAAGTTTGAACTGCTGGTATCCGCAGTGAATGAGACAGGTAGCGAGCGGTGGTCTGAAGGATATGAGGGTGAAGTTGACAGGATTGCTGAAGAAAGAAGGCGAGGTCAAATTGAGGAGTGCAAAGGTGGCGGGTGATCGGGGACTGAGGGCAGCTTTTAATCACAGAGGAGGGCAGCAGTGACTGCAGAGCAGGTGCTGGATTTCCGGCGGCCAGCAGGGCACGATCAATGTTTGTGCTAGGCCGTACAAGGGGGTTGTACGACGCAGTGGAGGAGATGAGCGGATGGAGATGTGGATTGTGAAGAGAGTGTAGTGTTCCCTCAGGACAAGCAACCAGGCCACCCAGTGTTGTAGACGCTCGGGAAGCTGTCCAGATATGCGAGGCAGACGGGTAGAGGGAGATACGCAGACGATGTTTGGAGAGCGAGGAGAAGGTAGGCGAGGTGGACCAACCTGGGAGATACAGACGCGCAACGAGAGACGAGGCAAACAACGAACGGCGATGAGGAGGCGACCTGAAGAGCTGGACTCTTGTTCTCGATTGGAAGCGGTGGTGATGGGAGGAGGAAAAGTCTTGAGAGGCTCTGGTCGAAGAGGTGAAGAAGGCGAAGACTGGTGATGAAGAAGAGGAAGGATCAAGATTGAGTGCACCTGACGGGTCGTGGAAAGAAGAAGGAGGTCTGGAATCTTTATGAAGCAAGGAAGGAGCAGGAGAAGTGACAGCAAGTGGTACCTTGCCTTGCAGCTGCCCTGCCGCCCTCTCGACGTACCTTGCCAAGCTTGCGCCTACCTCATCTGCAGCACTTGCCGGTAACTAACGCTCCTGCCCCACGCCAGCTGGCAGATCTGCCTCGACCAACGTCATTCACAACAGAACTGGAAGCTGCGATCTTGTCTGGCTGTCTGCATTGCCTGGCAGGGGTGGGTGGAGTGACGAAGCCTGTGTGACGCCGGTCTTTGCAAATTGCAGATGCACGATCGTGATGCTCCAACTGTGGCGCCAGAAGTACAAGTGCCGTTTACTATTCGATTTTTTTCCATCTCGGGTGACACCGAGTCTAGGGAAGCTGTGAGACAGTACTTGTTCGATACTACCTCTGGAATGGGGGCAGATGAGATGAACAGCCAGAGACTGTTGGGCTCGGAGCTGCTGCTGCTAGTAGCCGTATTGCGTTGCCTAGCACCCAAGTCCCTTGCATTGGGGCCCTACGACAGCAGTGGGAGCTGTTTGCAACCGAACGAGCTCCGTGTTTGTGAAGGCTGGACGATACCTGGACGAGCTGTGGGAGAGCGAGCGACCTGAGCATCCTGTCGGTTATCGGCTCGGAACAGAGCTGCATCTCCCTTGACAAGCTTGGCAACTTGAAGGCCCACCGTCTGCCGACCCTGGCAGAGCTGAAGAACTAACATCAAAGCAGGACGCCGTCACTCACGTGCCCTGACTCCAGCACTTCATGGGAGCTTCACCCACAGCAGCTTGAGCTCTGCAGCTTGGCAGGACAGAAAACGACCGAATCACCACCACTATTGGGCACTAGCTCCGGCTCTCCAGCCACCTGAGCGGCGCACTTCAGCTCTCGCCCCGGCTGCCGCAATGCGCTACAATGCGATGCTGAAGCCGATAGGCTCAGGCGCTCTAGTTTCAAGGTACAGCGACCTTAGCCGGTGGCAATGGAGGCGGTGGCGCTTCAGATGGCTGGAGTTGATTGCCTCATCATGCTTCATACATTCTGAGGTGTTCTCTGCATGCTTGTTGCGAAGTATCTCGCCGTATATTACCTTGCCTACTACTCTCCTTGCCCCGATACTGACTCCAATTGCGGTCAAAGCAAGTTCAATTGAACAATAGAACGCACTCCCTCGCGTCCCCTTTCGAGCAATTGCTATCTTTCTGCCAGCGCCACCCAACAGTTCAACTGTCCCGCGCTTTTACGAAGGACGGCCGAGTGTCTCATACCTACCTCGGACTGTCCAATACATTTTGCCAACGGGCCTCCACTGGCAATCGCACAACAAGAATGCGGCCCCGCTTCACCATCATCGGACCGTGCAATCAAGATCAGCCAAGCTGGAGTGACCCTGGTTGTCCTGCCAATGATTCGCCGGTGCCCATTGTATATCTGAGACTCTGGCTGCATGGCTCACGGCCATGCGTGTTGCCAAGTGGCTAGTCACCGCCGAAAGGGACGAGTAACTGGACAAAATCAAGTCCAGCCATGTCGCCGTGGTCTCGTACGAGGTTCTTACTAGGTACGCTGCTTGGAGGAGCTTCCAGACGGCGAGAAGCACAAGCCTCGTGCGCGGGCCTCCTTGGTGCTGTTTGACCTAGAATCCTGATTTGACTGACCTCATCATGTCGTTCGATCATGGCTTCTGTTGTCATTGACTCACTAGGACAGTTAACTCTACGTCACTTTTGATCCCACATGGAGCGTTGCCAGGTTTCGATTGAACGTCGACGACTGAGTCCCTCCAGTCTAAAGTACTTCCGGCTATCTGCTGTAGAACGGCATTATTGTTTCTTTGATTTAATCATGCAGAGTTAGATTCGACTGTCTCGTCGACACACTCCCTGCCTGACTCGAAATACGATTACAGGGCCGCTTCAAACGAGGCAATCTGCTTGTCGAGTTGATTCAGTACCTGTTCCGTGTCTGTGCGATGCTGCTGTCGCCACCGTGCTTCGAAGCTACTGGGCAGCTTCCCTGCAATCGTTGACATCTTGTTTTGCGGGTTGTGCATGCTTATTGCCGGTTCCGAGAGCGAGCAATGGTAGTACTTGGGGAACCATGGCCCAATGGCTTTTTGCAGGATATCCGGAAACAGAGGCCAGCGCAGGGATTACGTGCAATTGATGGTGACGACACCGCGGTTCGATATAGCCGAGTGCTGCCTCGTCCTTTGAGATACCTCCATGCTGTCACGAATCGCCCGAAGAGCCCCAACGTCAACGCGAAGAGCCATCATTTCCGCTTCGAAAGGAATCCTGTGTTGCACGCCGTAATCAGAAACACAGTCTTCAATCTGCATATAACAGTTGGTTTCCTGAAGCCAAAGGATGAAGCAGTGCAGCGGCTGAAGAAAGCCCATCTTGCTTGACGCGTCAATAGCCAATGGCATGAGCTAGGCATCACCATCTCTCCTCTTGCGCAGATGAGCAGGGCACTCGTGTTTCTGCCAATGATTGACCCTCTCGTATAGATTCATTCGTCTCTGCACGCCAAGTGGCTCGCCATAGTAATTATGAATCTCTTGACATTCGCACATCTATGCTAATAACAGCTGCAGCTGATGAGCACGCAGCTTCATACTCGTGTAAACAAGCGGTAAACGTAACAAAATATACATAGCCCAAACGCATTAACCAGTGCAGGGCAGCCTAGATTCTTGATCCGGCGCCCGCCATAAACAAACCTGAATCATCCAAAGCCCTATTTCCGTTGCCTATTTGTTCTATTCTTCCTCAAGCTCCTCCGTTATACTCGTCTCTCTCGTCCTCGTATGGGCCGCGGTCAAGCCCACAACTACCTGTTGGACGTTCTTCTAGCCACTGCACATGACACAGGCCTCGGGGTTTTCGATGCTGCCTGGGAGGGGGTCAGTAAAGCGGTCCATCTGGTTTGCTTATATCGAAAGCGTGACTTACAGGCCAGAACAGCGTCTGAGTAAATGTCCCTTTCCCGCTCTTCACTATCCTCATCCTTGTCCTCAGACTGGTTGGGCTTCTTCTCCAGCTCCTCATCCTTGACATTGTCTGAGGGCTCAGTAGGAAGAACCTTGGGGCTGTCTCCCTCGTCAATGTCGGCCTTCATGGGAGGGGCCTTGTGAGGGGAGGCCAGTGGCCTGCTTGAGGGGGGAGGTGTGGTGGTGGGTGTAGGAACTCCGTTAGAGCTCAACGAGTTTGCGGTGCTTTCTTCCCTCTTGGCACTGCTGGGGCGAGGGACGGCAGACGGAGAGGTCATCATGAAAGAAGAACCCGGGGGAGGAGCCCGCTTCTTCAGCACACGGTCCTTGCTGACGGCGGTGTCGGCAACCTTGAGCGCCTGCTGATCAACGGTGAACTGGATAGGCGCAGCTGCGGCCTGGGTACGGAGGTAGTACATGCCGGTCTTGAGACCGAGCTTCCAGCCGGTGAAGTGCATGCTGGTAATCTTGCCCATCGTGGGGTCCTTCATGTGGATGTTCAGGGACTGAGACTGGTCGATGAAAGCACCACGATCAGCCGCCATCTGGACAATTTGGCGCTGAGAAATCTCCCAAACGGTCTTGTACAGAGCCTTGATGTCCTCGGGGATGTTGGGAATGTTCTGGATGGAGCCGTTCTCGGCAATGATGCGGTTCTTCATGGCATCGGACCAGAGACCGGTGTCGACCAGGTCCTTGAGAAGCCAGGGGTTGACAACTTGGAACTCACCAGCGAGGACACGTCGCTGGTAGATGTTGGAAGTGTAGGGCTCGAAGCATTCGTTGTTGCCCAGGATCTGAGAAGTACTGGCAGTGGGCATGGGAGCGACGAGCAAGCTGTTGCGGACACCGTGCTCCTTGATCTGCTCCTTGAGAGAGTCCCACTCCCACAGGTCGGAGGGCTTGACGTCCCACATGTCGTACTGGAGTATGCCCTCAGACGCAGGCGATCCCTTGAACGACTCGTAGGGGCCCTCGACCTTGGCAATCTCCATGGAAGCCTCAAGGGCGGCATGGTAGATGGTCTCAAAGATCTGCTTGTTCAGCTCGCGAGCCTCGGGAGACTCAAAGGGCAGACGCAGAGCAAGGAACGCGTCAGCAAGACCCTGGACACCGACACCAATAGGTCGGTGGCGCATGTTGCTGTTGCGGGCCTCCTGGACAGGGTAGTGGTTCACATCAATGATGCGGTTGAGGTTACGGACAACCACCTTGGTGACTTCGTGAAGCTTCTTGAAGTCGTAGCATCCCTCGTTGTAGTCAACAAAGGCGGGGAGGGCCAGAGAGGCCAAGTTGCAGACAGCAACCTCATCAGGGGCACAGTACTCAATGATCTCAGTGCAGAGGTTGGAGCTGCGGATGGTTCCTAGGTTCTTCTGGTTGCTCTTGCGGTTGCAGTGGTCCTTGTAAAGCATGAAGGGGTTACCGGTCTCGGTCTGAGCCTCGAGGATGGAGTACCACAGCTTCTGAGCGCGGATGGTCTTGCGACCACGTCCTTCCCTCTCGTACTTTTCGTACAGAGCCTCGAACTCCTCGCCATAGCAGTCAGCCAGGCCAGGGCATTCGTTGGGGCACATGAGCGTCCAGTCCAAGTTCTTCTCAACACGCTTCATGAAGAGATCGGGGATCCAGAGAGCAAGGAACAAGTCGCGAGCGCGAACCTCTTCTTTGCCGTGGTTCTTGCGAAGATCAAGGAAGTCAAAGACGTCAGCGTGCCAGGGCTCGAGGTAGATGGCAAAGGCACCAGGACGCTTGTTGCCACCTTGGTCGACGTATCGGGCAGTGTTGTTGAAGACTCGCAGCATGGGGATAATGCCGTTGGAGGTGCCGTTGGTGCCGGCAATGTAAGAGCCGGTGGCACGGATGCGGTGAACGTTCAAACCGATGCCACCAGCCATCTTGGAGATCATGGCGCACGTCTTGAGCGTGTCATAGATACCCTCAATGCTGTCGTCCTTCATGTCGACCAGGAAGCATGAGGACAGCTGGGCTTGCGGGGTACCAGCATTGAAGAGGGTGGGGGAGGCGTGAGTAAAGAACTTGCTGGACATGAGGTGGTAGGTCTCGAGGACACGCTCAATGTCGTCTCCCCAGATGCCGACAGCCACCCGCATGATCATGTGCTGTGGCCGCTCGACAATCTTGCCGTCGAGCTTCAGAAGGTATGACCGCTCCAGCGTCTTGAAGCCAAAGTATTGGTAGTTGAAGTCTCGATCGTAGACGATGGCGGAGTCGAGCTCCTCCTTGTGGCGCATGACACATTCATACGTGTCCTTGGAGATCATGGGCGAGGCCCTGTTGTTCTTGGGGTTGACATAGTGGTAGAGGTCGCTGACGACAGCTGACCACTGCTTCTTGGTCTGCTTGTGGAGGTTGGAGACGGCGATACGGGCGGCCAGGATGGCATAGTCGGGGTGGGTAACGGTCATGTACGCGGCAGTCTCGGCAGCCTATTGTTCTCAAGGTTAACGTCTGAAGCTTCAACAACGAGAGAGAGCAGGCTCACGAGATCGTCAAGCTGCACCGTCGTGACGCCTCCGTAGACACCGGAGATGACCTTCTGGGTAATGGCCACAGGGTCGACATGCTCAGTGTCCAGGCCGTAACACAGCCGCGAGACACGAGCGGTGATCTTGTCGAACTGGACACGCTCCTGACGACCGTCTATCCACGGACCATTAGAAAGACTCGAAGGGCTTCATCTAGATCCAGCAGTGAGGTGGGATAACATACCACGCTTCCTGACATACATGGCGGCGGTGGGGGAGCAGCTGGACAAGAGAATGACGTAGGCGGCGATGCTCTTCCAAAGGCTCTCAGACGCTTGCAGGTATCAATCAAGACACTCAGGCAGTCAGGCAGGGCTTTTGAAGGCTGTCGAGGTGAGTCGAAGCCTTTGGTGATGTTGTTTTGTCGTGTCTGGTTTGGGGAGGGAGAGAGGGAGAGTGAGCGTGTTCCCCTCCAAAGCCGCAGGAAGAACGTTTTATTCTCAGGCGCGTCTCCAGCACGCGCCACGCCAGCAGTTTAGCGTGAAAAATACCATTAAAAACCATTAAAAAGCGTGTTAGGAAAAAAAAGAAGTGCCCCGCGCAAGCAGCCATTCCAGTGAGAAGACGGTGGCTTCGGCCAGTCAAAGGGCGAGGGCGGCTCCAAAGCAGACCCAACAATCACTGCCTCATTCGTCCTCGTTAAGCCGGATCGGGCTCATAAACAAGATGCTAAAGCGTCCCACGAGCAATTAATCATCCTTCCTTGCGTTACAGTCCAAGAAGCTCTGTTTTGGTGGATACGCGAATCCCGGGCGCGTGTCTTGGTCATCGAGTTTGGCGGGCGCTGTCGCGGGATCACGTGCGTTTAATGGAGTGTTTTACTAGTTGTAAATGCTTTGCGAGGGATGACTCAGCGAGGTTCCGAGTTGCCATTTTGTCGATGCATCTTGGACCACGTTCATGTACATCTGCTGTATCAGCATGTAAGAGGAGAGCATTTGTGAAATCGCTTCATATCCAGGACTGTTTGTGTCTTTATGTCTTTTATTCTGGGGAGAACCCGCCATCATCTGCCCCGCCACTATTTTGCAGCCATCTCTCGTTTCTCATCAGTATCTCGCACAATGAGTGCCCCGCAGCCCGGCTCCGAGCCGGCATCAGAGCCTTATAAGCCCAGATATATCGATGTACTTCAACCCCTTCGAGCTTGTCACTACCTTTGAAGGGCTGTTGGAGACGCTGATGCGTAGCTACTACAGATAGGAATCAATCTAGCCGACCCCATCTATCGGGGCAAACACCGCGGCGTCCAGCGACACCCGGACGATCTCAAGGATGTCATCAGCAGAGCCAAGGAGGTGGGCTGCACCAAGCTCATCGTGACGGGCTCCGACTTTACGAGTGCTCGTGATGCGTTGGAGCTGGCCAAAGAATTTCGTTGGTAAGCCCTCGGCCCACAGGCTGCAACCATAACACTGACCTCGATTACCGTTCAGCCGGGACATGCTATGCCACCGCCGGCATCCACCCGTGTAGCAGTGCAATCTTCTGCAAGGGAGGCCATGGAAGACATGAGGAGGAGCACACGGCCCCATGTGAGCCCGAAGCCTCGGAACCAGCCGAGCACAAGGGTGAGCCCGACCCGGAAACGTCAGCCAAGGTGATTGACGAGCTCATGGCGCTGCTCGCCGACGCCAGATCCTCCAGCAAGCACCATCTGGTGGCCATGGGGGAGTTTGGACTGGATTACGACCGGCTGCACTATTGTGGAAAGGCCGCCCAGCTGCACTCTTTTGAGGCGCAGCTCAGAGTGGCCGCCTCTCTGCAGCCTCAGCTCCCGCTGTTCCTGCACTCGCGAGCTGCCCATCGCGATTTCGTGAACTTGTTGAAGGGGGCTTTCGGCGAAAGGCTCGAGAGGCTGGAAAAGGGCGGCGTGGTGCACAGCTTCACGGGCACGATAGAGGAGATGAAGGAGTTGATGGATCTGGGCCTGCACATCGGCGTCAACGGCTGCAGTCTCAAGACGGAAGAGAACCTCACCATGGTCAAGGAGATCACCCTCGACAGGATCATGCTCGAGACAGACGGCCCCTGGTGCGAGGTTCGACCGAGCCATGCTGGATACCAGTACCTGATAGAGAAGAAGCCTGAGCCGGAACCGCAAGCGACGAATGGTGAGCCTCAACCCGCCGACGCGGCCGCACAGCAGCAGCAGACGAAGCGGTCGAAGAAACAAAAGAACCAAAAGAAAGAGCCCGACGTGCCGAGTCGCTGGAAGGTGGTGAAAAAGGAGCAGTGGCAGCAGGGAGCCATGATCAAAGGCCGCAACGAACCGTGCACCATCGAGCGGGTGGCCAAGATTGTTGCCGCCGTCAAGGGCGTGAGCATCGAAGAGCTATGCGAGGCATCTTGGAGGAACACGGTCAATGTCTTTGGCCTCGGCGAGGAGGCGAATTAGATTTCATCATGGTTTCTCATCATCAATAAGGGTATCAAAAGCGCATAGAAAGAACAGTATACAATATATCCAAAACCAACCAGATGCCGGACTCCCCATCCCATCACAGCCCAGACCCCTTGTTGCCCTTTATCCGTCCATGCTTGACAATGCCCAACGTAACGCCATCCTCCCCTGTCATCCAGCCGGGCATGCGTTCGCCATCTATGATGCCCGCTTCCACGAGCTGTCGGATACCGGCAAAGACGTGATTCCCTTGCAATGTGATTTGCACAGTTGGTTTCCATTGCGAAAGGTTCTTGGGGTCATTCGCTTCCTCGTCATCGTCATCGCCGGTTAGACGGAGCGCGGCATCAATTGTTCTTCTCCGAGCTGAGACCGATGCTTCGCCGGGAGCATCGCCCTTGTCCTTCCCCGACCCTAGCTTTTCTGCAGCGACAGGCGTGGGAAATGGGTCTTCGAGCAGGACATCAATCCTTTCAACACCCTTTCCATCATTGACGAGACCAGAGTCGCCAAACCGTGCCTGAGCAACGAGCTTGGCTCGTTTGGCAGCCCGCTGATCCGAGTTGAGTGGTTTCAGCCTCTTTCGGCTCTTATCAGAAAGAGATGAGTCGTCGGAAAGCGGAGGACTGGGGAGAATGGTATCGAGGGGAGACTTTCTGTTCTGTTCTGAGGCATAAATGCTCCAACCACCTCCTGCGGCGTTTCCCCGCCCAGGGCCCCTTTTATCCAGGAGCGTCTCCAAGTTTCGGCTGGTAAGGTTTGTCGGTTTGAGAGTGTAGCGCTCTCTCGGCCTGGATAATGCCTTTGGTACACCCTGGATGATCAGATTCTGGAGGCTCTTGGATTCGCCGCCGGCGGCTGGGCCATTGGCTTGAGACTTGGTGATGTAAATGTGGGAAGACCCATCCGGGAAGGCCAGGTACACCGTCCGAGACGAAGTGAAGTTGGCGGCCGTGCCGCTTCCGGTGACGCCGGAGAGAGCCAGACTGCTGTTATAGGGAGATTCTATGACGAATATACGTAAGAGCAGGACGGGGAGGTCCTTTGGGCGATGAAAATGGTAGTGAGCCTTGATATCCGGCAGGACCTGGTCCTGGAGGCTCTGTAGGAAAGTCGAGGGGTGAAATCGAGGAACACTCAGCGCCTTGTCATCGACACGAAGGACTTCGTCCTCGACACCCTTGGTCGGCGGCTTGAGCGGGAGAATCTTATAAGCCGTCCATTTCTGTGACATTGGATGCTCTTCCAGATGGTAGAAGTCGACCATGGCGAGCTGATACAGCGACAGCCCGTGCCTCCAATCGCCCTCCAATATGCGATTGGCTACGTCGCGCTTCGACCCCTTTTGCTGCTGCATGTCGACGTAGAGCTCGTACAGCTGCTGGACTGATTCGCACGGGGGGTACACATCATCCGGGTCGATGTCATCTTCGTCGCTTCTCCGCTCCAAAAACGGCACTGCATTGGCTATGGTGTCTCCGTCGAGCCAGCTCAGGGCCAGGGAAATGAGCGCTTCGCGGGATAGCCGGTTCAGGCTCTTTATGACGGCTGGGTTTGAGGAATCCACGCGGAGCGACGACGGCAGCCTGGCCTTTGTTGGTACCGAGAACCGGGCCATTGCGGAGGTGTGAGAGGAGGAGTCGCTGTGGCTTTGTGAAGAGGTTGGATAGAAATTGTGCAGCTTCGCCCTACATGGCGGCTGTCACAAAGCCGAAGAGGTGGATGATGACGATACTGAAACCTGAGATGAAGTCCATCAGACGCGGCTGGAGATGCTGAGACGCGTTGGAGGAAAATACGTACGTATATGTGCTTAGTCATCCCAACAACCTGCGTCGCTCCAGGTTAGCGGAAGACACCACCATCTACACAGTCTATCACGACGAAACGACTGAAAGGTTATGATGGACAGTTTCAGTAATCTTTAAAATGGACTGAGTCTACAATCTTCTATGGACTTATTGCCATGTTGGTTGCACTGCATGTATCGCGAAGCTATGACAACTACTTTCACCTTACATAAGGTAGTATGGAGTACACGTACATGGCCAAGAGACTCAAGACTCAAGACATGGAGCAAGCCAACGGCTATCTAATTACGAGTCTGTTCTAATAGAGTACATATATGCGATATCTAGTACATTTACAACGTGAAGATTAAGCCAAAATGAAGTCCTTTGAGTCAGGATAACATTCTAGACACGGGATAGAGAACTTCTCTCACCGCCGACTCAAAGACACCCGTCTGAACCGCAGCACCGAAACTACACGCACGCACTCATTCATTAGCAGCCCAACCTCCAAGAATACACGAACGGAGCTTTGTGTTGTCGACTCACCCATGGCATTTCGCTGCATCACGCAGTCTCTCCGCCAGCCTAATGATGCTCTGCATCTCGAAACCGCCAAAGAACGGCTGCTTGCGAATATAATGCCACGCCTGTATCGGCGTCACATCGCCATCTCCTGATACACTCGGCGCAAGGTTCAGCAGCCGCTCAAGCACAGCCGCCGGCGCGTTCTGGTACGACGGAGGCACCGGATTCTCAGGGTCGATGGGTGGCAGAGACAAGCATGAGTGCAGCTGAGATGTAGTGGTCAAAGCATGGCCGCTTGGCTCGTGTGGCTTTTTGGGATTGCCGTGTATGTGGCCCAGGCAAGGGCTCTCTAGGCTTCATAGTTGGTTCATTGGTCAGCTTTCTGTCTCCTACCGACCTCTGTGTAGCAAGGGGAGCATACGTCAGCACAAACTCCATCCCGACGGTTGTGACATCGAGCTCGGAGAGGCGAGTCTTGCCGCTGGGGTCACCTAGGGGGGCTGTGGCCGTGGCTGTCGGCACATGAGCTGGGAGTGGCGGCGGACCGTTGTCTCGGGAGATGTGATCTGAGCCGTGCTGATGCAGGTACGTGAGATTCTCATCAGTCCAGAAAGTGTCCGGGCTTGCCGCCTTTTCCGCAAAGACTGCCCATGTATCTCTTGAGGCAGCGTCGGTTCCCTGTGTCCGTCCATGCGCTGTCTTGATATTGCGGGAGGTGAGTTGAAGCGTGTCTAAGGGCAGTACATCTTCTTCAGGAGACGGCATCCAGCTGCCATCACATTCGCCGGGAAGGGGAATGCCATGTTGAGACAAGAGAGTCGTCAGTATCCGGACCTTCTCTTGAAGCTGCTCGACCTCAGACGTCAAGTCGGCCTCACTCTTCCGAGCCCTTGCAAGCTCAAACTCGAGGGCCTTGGTGTACTTGTCCTTGCGGTCCCGATAAGATCTATCGGTGAACATTTAGCGGCCGTCGGGAATGCAGGGGAAAGGGGGATCAGCCAGGTCAGGCACTCACTGCTGGGCACGTCGCAGTTGGGCACGCCTTTTCTCCACGGGGTCGGCCTTTGGCTCTGTTGCTCACTCTCCAGGGTCAGCATGAGATCTCATCTCTTCCCACACCGGAGAGATTACTAATGGCAGGAAAGAGGGCTGAAGCTGAATTAAAGCTCCGGGAGGGATCGGGACCGACCTCTCGGGTTGAAGATGCGGAATATCTTGTCTGCCATTACGATGCAAAGAGCACGATTATGGGGTCTGTACTCCGTACGTCGGTTGATGGGCGGTCGGCTTTTGGTTGTGCCTAATTGGACGGTTGAGAAGCTGGGCTGATGTGAAAGCTGGGCTGGTGAGACCTTGTCTGCTTTTCAAGATTCCAAATGGCATTGGGATCTGAGGGGTGCCGACTTCCGGAATAGGGCACTTTTGATGACATGGACTCACATGTAAGCAATTGCAGCGACTTAAAGTTATTAGTATTGCCGCTCCGCCAGGGGTGTTTGTGCCTGGTCGAAATTATGAGTGACGGCTTGTGAATCAATCAACGAGCTGTTTTGTTGGCAAGCTGAGATGAGGTTGAGAAAGGGGTCATTTGAGTCGAGATTCTTTTCTTCGGCAAGCTTGAAACTCCCCAATCGGTCTTAGGATTCATCTCCTCCTCCTTAGAACCAATGCTACGTACTCAGCTTGCCACGGCCGCTCATTTACAGAAACACAAGGAAAACCCTCTCCTACTCTAATTGGATATATTGTTTATTATGCTACGGAACAGAACGCTCGAGCACCTCCAAGTCTGCCGTTTCACCCTCGATCCTCCTTGTCACATCTCTAAACAAAGCCTGCCTTACGCATCACCCGCGTCCCAAACAGGAAATGCGACTCCATCCCCGTTGCCTCATCCCCCAAGAAACGCTGCACCCCTGTCCCGTCTTATGCCCGATTAGGAAATTCTGATTATCGCGGGTCTGAGATTAGGCTCGTGGAGAAGCGAAAAGATTCCTCATGAGGAGGTCTCGGTTCCTGAGCTATCATCTGTTTCTGGAGAGTAGCTCGCGTTACAGCTTCCGGGGGGAAACTGGCATTATCCTGTTTGCTGCTGAGGGCTGGAAACGTTGAGCTCGCTTTGCACGGCACCGGTTCATCGGAGACGCGGAAATGGCCGTGGAGTTTGGAGGGAGGAGAAAGGAGATGAGGGAGGCATCGTGAAGGAGATGTATAAGTAGGGGCGACGAAGCCGATATGAATTGCGGCAACATCTCAACCAACAAGTTCTTCTCTCTCTCGCTCTTCAGCCCTATCTACAAAACATCTCGAATAGACGAGTCTGACAATAAGCAACTCTGGTAGTTGGTTTTGTCCTCGACGCCTGCACAACCACCGCCACTTCCACTTACACTTACACACTCCTATTTCCATTACTCAAAATCTGACATTCTTTACCCAATCCCAAGCTCCTCTCTCTCTCACAATGCATTCCTCCACGTGGACATCCCTGTTTCTCCTCGGCCTGGCAAATCTGGTGCCTGATGCGTCAGCCCGACCGTCCGCCTGCCCTCCGCCTGTCAAGCCCGGCAAGGCCATCTACACCCTCAGCAACGAGCAGCAGAACAGCGTGATTGCCCTGCCGATTGGCAGCAACGGCTTGCTGTCCCAGGGAACGAGCACACCGACCGGCGGCGCAGGTTCCAATGTCATCGTTGCGAGCGGCAACACCACGGGGCCTGCTGGTCCTGATGCCCTGAACTCCCAGTCCTGCTTGACTGTTGTCGGCAACGTAAGTTGAAAGAGTTCACACAACCCATCCACCCCTAATGAAGAAGCCAATCTGCTGACTGGGTATCGCGTAGAACCTGTTTGCCGTCAACGCCGGATCAAACACAGTCACAATGTTCGCCATCGACCCCAACCACCCGACCCGCCTCACCATGGTGGGCAAGCCCGTCTCCATCCCCGGCGACTTCCCCGTCACCGTGGCGGCATCGGCCAAGAACCAGCTCGTCTGCGTCGGCGCGACCGGCGCCAAGTCGGGCATCTCCTGCGCCTCCTTCTCCGCGCACGGCATCGGCAAGATGGACCAGCTCCGCCCCGTCGGGCTGAACCAGACGACGCCGCCCTCGGGACCCCCCAACACCGTCTCCCAGGTCTTCTTCTCCGCAGACGAGGCGACGCTCTTTGCCACCGTCAAGGGCGACCCCAACGCCAACACCAAGGGCGTCTTGGGCGTCTTCGGGGTCGAGCAGCCTTGCAACGGCCGGGGATCCGCGACTGTGAGCGAGGAGGGCAAGCTGACGGATGTGGACGGCACCATTGTCCTCTTCGGCTCGTCCCCTATTCAGGGATCCTCCGATCTGTTCGTCACCGATGCTGCTTTCGGCGCTGCCGTGCTGTCCGTTGACGCGGCCACTGGTGCTGCGAGCATTAAGAACAAGGCCACCATCGAGGGCCAGGGAGCCACGTGCTGGGCGGCCATCTCTCCCGAGACGAACACTGCCTTTGTCACCGACGTCGCCGTCAACCGCATCGTGGAGGTGTCCCTGGCCGACGCCAGCATCGAGTCCATCACCGACCTCAACAACGGCGACCCCGGCCTGATTGATATCCGCGCGGCGGGAAGCTTCGTCTACGCCCTCAGCCCCGGCAACGGAACCACCCTGCCGGCTGTGACCGTGATGGATGTGGTGACCAAGAAGCAGGTGCAGCACTTCCAGATCAAGGGGCTGGGCGCGAGCAAGAATGCTCAGGGTGTTGCCGTGCTGCTGTAATATCAAAGTGATGAGAGATGGTCGGGCTTGGGGGGTGTTGAATGATTCGGATTGCTTATGATTTTAACTTGGAGGGCAGCGTCAAGATTTGTTACAATGTAATTTAGACCGGGTTCTTTTCCCTTATCTTTCTGTTTTCTTCCAAGTTACTTGTGTCTCTGTTTGTATATCAAAACTTGCAGCTTATAAAAAGTTGAATAATGCTTGTTACATGTCTTTCGATCGAAATCATATCCTCTCTTAAGATTTCAATAGTGCAACAGCCCTCGGAATAGTATCTGCATGATAGTGGTTTGATATTGTACTCACACAGGACTGACATGGCTCGAAAAGCATTGCTTGCATGAGGACGTGGCTGCCCAAATGCCTTCACCCACTCTTTCGATGGCTTCATCCATCCCTACCTGTCACATGTAATGTCCGTCATAGTTTGGCTTTGGATCAGGAGAGCCGTTGGTCTCGACAGCTGACTCCGTCTCCCCTCTTCTGAGGTCCAAGCGGGAACGTGGCAATGGCCAACACAATGTGAGACATCAAGCCGTCGCTTCTTCTGTATGCGCTGATTCGGCTCATCAACCACACGACTATCCCCAACTCGACCTGGTCCCCGTAGGACTTTAACTCGCGGAGCATGTTGGCCGTCCCGAGACATTATCGCAGCCAGTCAGCGAGTTCCAATCCACGGTGAACCCAGGCTTCAAGCAAAAACTGCCCAGTAGCTCCCCCAACCGGCCGGTTGCGTGATTGCGTCTTTGACGATGCGACCCTGATTTGCGTGCTTGGACGTGCAGCGGCCGGCCAACAGCAGATCACATGGCGAGATTTTCTCCGGTGGCCACGCGCGGAACGCACCAATTGAACGTGGCCGGCGGCATTTTGGGATGCAAGGCCGTCTGCAGGCTGCTGAGCAGGCGAGGCAAGGGACTTGATGTTGGAATCGACCACCCTGGCCTTCCGAGGGCTCTTCCATTAGCCGAGACAGGGATTGCGCGGGAGGCGATCCTGATGAGAATCGTGAACACGCACCCGAAGCGACGGCTTTCTCGGTGGATGAGATTCAGCTGCCCTGACGGATGACTATTCCATACTTGCTTCTAGTATCTGAATTAGTAGGGAGCAAAGTGCAAACTCCTTTCTCTTGGGCGATCGCTATTCATCCCACATCACGACCGTGACGAAGACAAAGAGCAAGACGACGAGTCATCACGTAGCCGGAAACGTCCTCGGCTAGCAGTGATGCGAAACCAACGGCAGGCAAAGCAGGGCGAAGTCCAAGTCTCTGGAACCCGGCGAGTTGCAGAGTCGCAGCGTTGTAGAATAGCGGGGAGGAGGGAGCGGAAGCAGCGCCAAGCTGCATTTGATTCTGCAAGCTCGTGAACCGCGGCGGCCTGGTTGGTGGGCTGAGGCTGAAGAGGGTGAGGGCTATTAATTGACGACGGAGCCAATTCAGTCCCGAGCAAGTTAGTGCTTGTACCTAGGCAGACGGGATGGAATTGCTGGAGCCCCCACGCATTTGTCGGGAGGGAGAAGAAGGGGGTTCACGGGGGAAGAGAAACAGCCGCGTGCCTTTGCGGGACGATTTGGGGCTACTGAACTGAGTGAAATTGGACTCGACTCGAATGGCACGGTGAGCGTTTAATTGCCCGGATTGTGCGAGTCAACGACCAGGCGGAACATGGACAGGGACAGTGCGGGCTTTGCCTGCTCGGTTGGCCACCGCACTGTCCGTTCATGCAGCCGTTCGGCCACTGATGAGACGGTGGAGGCAGTCTATGATGGATTCACAGGCTGATCAGCAACGGCAGACTCCAGAAAAACAGGTTGCGGCGCTGTAACATCGACGTCAATAACGGCCGGGTCGCACAGGGAGTACCGGGTACGGTGCAGGAGGTGCAGGCCGCGCGGTGGAGCACCGTACAGGTACCCGCGCGTGCACATGCAAACAGCCGTCGCCTTAGTACCTTACTCCGTACACAGTATCATGATCAGAGATAAGGTAACAATGGGGAAAAGCCCATCCATTGCCTGTGTGGCGATTCCTGGCGCGGAGTCGTCCTCAACTCTTAACAAACCGAATGAGCAAATGGAGTGAGCGATACGGCGTCTGCGGCCGCTCTCACTGGCTGCAGCAGGGTGGGGAGCCCGGCTCTCCAGGCGTCCAAGGCGCTGTGGGCGTCCACACCCTGGGGCCCCGACCACTGAAAGCGCCGCGTTTCTGGCTGGCCCTCCGCAGGTACCTCGCGCCCCGGACTCGAGCGCAGCCAAAGGCATGTCACGGCGGTGGGGCCCAGCTGATTGATTTCTCAGCACGAGTCCTGAGAAGGCGCTAAAAGGCCCTTTCGGGACCCTCTGAAGCCCCTCCAGGCCCACTGGCACAGTCGGAGCCCTTCGGCGAAGCGGTCGGTTAGCTGGCACGTTGCACGCATTTCTGGCGGGCGCGAGAATAGAGAGGAAAAAAAATCTCCACACAGAGGGCTGGAGAGTCATAACCCCGATCCAGGCAAATCCATGGCTCCCTGCGATCTCGCTACTGTACAAGTCGCCCTCTAGCATCTCTTCCTTCAAACATCTTCCTCCATTCGTCGCCATTTCGACGTCACGCACTTCCTCATCGAACGAGCATCCCGCCGACGGCCAGAATCGCAGTAGACATCGAAGAGATTGTTCTGCTTCGCTTCGTTTTAGAACCACGACGGACAACAGCCGACTGTGAACTTCAAGGGCGCTCTCTTCCCGGCCGTGCCCTTGCTTTCCACACCGTCTCGCAGCGTCGACGCATCAATTACCGCGATTGCGAGACCACAACGCACGGTCAATCCGTGACGACTCTCGTCTGAACATCCTCTCGACGGGGAAAAAAAAGAAACCACAAATCACAATGTCCAACTACAGCGGACGACACGGCCCCAACGTGTCGCAGTACCTCCGCGACCTCAACACCATCAGCCCCGGCGACACCACCGGCCTCGAGGAGCCGTACACCATGGAGGACGATCTGGCCATCTTCACCAACACGCAGTTCTTCGACATCGACTCTGGCCGGAACACCGACTTCCAGGCTCAGGCCCAGCCCGTCAAGACCGAGGGCAAGGCACTCCACAGCGGCACCGCATCCGAGGATGTCAGCGCAGCGCCCTCGGTGATCGGTGAACTGCCCAACCTGGATTTCATGTCTGGTGAGTGTGGGCATCCTGTTTGCACGTCTACTTTGTCTGCTGGTGTTTTGTCTGTTTTGTCTGCATTTTCCCATCTCTCGCAGTCTGTTTCTTCACCACCACCCTTTTTGGCAAGACACCAGACCCTGTCTTTTTCCTCTTGCAGCAACCCGCGCACCTAGCGTGCCCGGCATGCTTTGTCAACCCGGTGGATGGGGTCCTTGCATCTCTTTGGCCCTTTTGCTTCTATGCTCCCCCATACCTACTCAGGCTCCTCCTCACCCGCGCCGCTGCCATTGGGACGAGCTGTCTCCAAGATTGGATGCGATGCAGGCAAAAGTGCTGCTGAAGCGCGCCCTGGAGGTGGGGCATCCCGCACTTCGCATGCGCTGACAAATGGCCCGGCGATGGTGCAATACCTCGTGATTTTGACACTCTCATCCCCAAATGCAACATTGGCCCATGGATCCGCGACGCATTGCGAGCGGCCATGGATGTTGCGGCGCCTATATCCCCTTTCTGTATACCCGTCATGTCGCCATCCTGCTTCGTCCCGTCCCTCCCTCCGCTGCCCACCCCGTCCGCGTTCCCCGTCGTTGGTGCGAGCGATATCGACACATACTTGGCGCTGCCGGCTGGCCTGATCACAGTCGCTAACCATCCATGGTGATATCAGACTTTACCTTTCAAGACTTCAACAACAACACATATGCCGCGCCCCACATGAACAACTTCCCGGAACAGGGCTTCCAGCCTCTGCAGCCCAACCACGGCCACGTCCAGGTGCCTCCTCACCATGCGCGCTTCCACCAGGCACCCCCACAGGTTGGCGACAAGCGCAAGTCCGAGTCCATGAGCCAGGAGGAGGCCGCCCGGGTGGCTGCCGAGGAGGACAAGCGGAGGAGGAACACGGCCGCCAGCGCCCGTTTCCGCATCAAGAAGAAGCAGCGCGAGCAGGCTCTCGAGAAGTCCGCCAAGGAGATGTCTGACAAGGTCGCCAACCTGGAGAGCAAGGTCTCCCAGCTCGAGACGGAGAACAAGTGGCTGAAGAACCTCCTGGTCGAGAAGAACGAGGGCAGCGAGGACATTGTCGCGCTGTGGAAGGAGTTCACCAAGCACGCAAGCCAAAAGGCCAAGGCCACCCCCGCCGAGTCAAGTAACGGCGACAAGGTCAAAGATGAGCGATGATGAACGAACATGAGCTTATGAAACCATCGCTACTCATTCTGGCTGGTGTTTTCTTCAAGCTTCATAATGCGACGCTGATTCAAAGGCGTGAGGGGGGTAAGGGGGGCGTTGATTTGGTTACTGGCGTTCTGCATCATTCTTATTCGCATAGGAGCTTCGTCCTGCCCTGGGAAGATTTGGGTCATGGGGATAACTGATCCAATCTGGGGTCGAAGTGAACGAAGCTGGGGGGTCGGCGGCGGCGGGATTTGGGTTGGCAATCCTTGCTTGTTTATAACGTGGCATATATGCAGATGTGGTGGGCAGTAGAGGGCCAGAGTAAAGGGAACGGGCTCTTTATATGTGGAAACGGTGATTTATTTATATTCATACGAAATGACCAATCTCTTCATTCCCTCTCCATTATAACATACATATAATCGGAACCTAAACCCCTGATTTTCATGTTCTATTGTTTGCCTGAAGTGTCGTGATTGCCACTAGCGCCTATGCTGTCATTGCTCCCTTCGCTGATGCCACGGGCCTCTCTGAGGGCGGCGAGGCGCTCCTGGTTCCGCTTGCCGAGGATGCGGAGGGTGTTTTCGCGCTCAATGTCGGCCATCTTGTCCCAGTTGGCGATGCGGGACATTGTGCCGTCGGCGTTGACGACGAGGGGCCCGAGGTGGTCCAGCTTGACGGTCGAGCCGGAGCCGCTGACGTCGAGGGTCTGGACGCCGTTGTCTGATGGATCTGGCGCGGGGAGGGCGTTGCGGGGGACGGTGGTAGTGGATTCTGAGGTTGAGGCAGAGTCGCTTGAGGATGGTGGCTGTTGTTGTTCTGAGGTGGACGACATTTTGGCTGTTGTAGTTGAGAAGGGGCTGCTGAGTGGATGACGATGTGAGGGTTTGAGTTTGAAGTGGTGGTAGAGGTTGGTGAGGATGCTGCGGCGGAGCATTTGGGGTTGATGGATGGAAGGGGGTTTCGTTGAAGATTATATGACTACGGTTCGTTTTGTCTTTTGAGTTCGTAAGGTGGTTCTATGTATGATGCGTGTCGTTGCAATGGATCGAATGCAGAGCCCGCGTTGTGTGGGTGCGGAGACGCAGCTAGAAGGTTCGGTTAGATTGGATTTCGATCGCAAAGTGCCGATGCGCCGCACACGATGCCTTCGAATCAGCACGACGGGCCTAAGTACTGCATACTTACCAGATAGGGTAGCACCGTATCAATTCTTCTGGAAAGGACCTGAAATTTGAGCTTGACTTCTCCCAATTGACGATGCTTACCTTAACTTGTGGTTCCTTCAGTTGGAGGTGATTTTCCCTCTCGAGGCTGGACTTGACCGATTTTATTTAGGCTAGGGAAGACGGTTTCTAGTAGTTTCCCCGGTTTGTACGTAAAGCGTCTCTTTAGTCTTGTTCGGTACTCGATGCCGCAGAGTTGACACGAATCATTTGCGTATTCTGCCATGTAGCACAGAGAGAGCTTTGTCTAAACATCAATGAATACCTACTTAGGTAGCCACATGCAGCTTCAAAGGGGGCAGAACACGGGAATGGCATCTTCTCAGCCTCGTCCAACCAAAGCACCCTTTCTGCCGACATTGGTGATTCTCTCCCCCCACCTGCTTCTTATAGAAGCTCCGGGGCTTTTTACTTCGTTTCGTCCAGTGAGTTGTGTTAGAAATGTTCAATGCGCTCAAGCTAGCGGCTTGAGACTTATTCACTGCTGATGTTGGGTTGTGTTTGTGTGTGTGTATCCAAGTTGATTCCGGTTCGGTCCTTAGCTGATGGAGCTGTGGTCGTGCAGGGTCCCTGACTGCAAAGACGCAAAACTCCCCGTGTTGAGGTGAGGAGCCAGGGGACGGTTAGATCTCGGGATGCAAGAGAGTGAGGTGGCTTCGATAACAAGTGGCCGCCTTTATGTATCTCGGCTTGCTCGGTGTGATGCTATTTGGAGCAAAAAGGGGGAACCGTGGGCTGTTCAATTTGGTATGTTTTTTCGGCAAGTTGGCCGCGATCGACACTGACACGCTGCTTGGCCAAGGTGAGATGTGTGGAGGAGACACTCTTCCCCTCACTGTTGTGCTTCGTAGCACCGCAGCCAGTTTGAGTGAGACTTGTGTAGTAGCTGCTCGCTCCATGTGTATTTCCACAGCTATGGTACTCGTTCGTCATAATATCTTTCAGAATGGTTGTCCAATTTTCATCTGGGACAACTTCAAAAATCCCAATGATGAGGCCTTTTGCCAGTCTGCTCGATAACCGCGGAACGAGGTAATAGCAGAACGGATCAATGGCAAGACCTCCTGGACACCGCTCCTTTTCCGCATTGTTCAATGCTTCGTGTTTTGCGCAGCCGCTGCAGGGTCTGCTATGCACAGCTCCACCGCTGGGGAGTTTGGTATTAGTAGTAGTACATGTAGGCAAGGTAGGATTGGTTTCAAGGTGACGGTGATCAACTAACGTGCAGCATTGCAGTGGTGAGGAGCAAGTAGTAATACGGGGTGGGTGGGAATAGCCTCAACTCACTGGCGCGGGAGTGCCCATGCTCTTGCCTGTCTTCACCCTGATCTTGAGTCGTGTCTGCTTTCTTTGTTGTCTCGACCAGATGGAATGAGCTTAGATAGTGAGTGATACCCAAGAATCTCAAATTTGGCTGCCTATTCCATTCATCGTCGCCTTACACTGACATGTCCATCTTTGCTCAACCCTCCTGTGCTCTCGTCCGGCGATCCTGCCTCCCATCGGCCATGCCGTCCCGCAAATCGGGTGGCCCCAAGGCCCGGAATAGTTGCAAGATGCACCGTCTCCTTGTCCTGTCTGCCCCTCGTTTTTTCGATTGTCACAGTTTTGGTGCCCAGACACCGGCCCGGATTGGCAGTCCAACAGCGGCCTCTCCACCTGCGAGAAGCAGCCCGGCGCTGCTAAAAAGGGGCCTGTGGCTTTTTGAGCAGCCTAAGAGGGGTCATCTGGAGAGCAGCTAGCGGATCCCGTCTGCTCTAGTCGCCCCGTTGGCTTTTCAGGATTTACGCCGTATTATATATGGTCGATGCATCGCGGTGACGCCCCAGCAGGATTTCCGAGTTTTTGGAGATTTTTTTTCCCCTTCGTCTCTCTTCGTTCCCTCGTGCAGCTTTTTTCGTTGTTCTTGTTTGCTACGGGCTTCCAGCTGCGCATTCGCTTCAGCAGTTCAGGCATCTCCTGCTTCCCTTCTTCTGGCCTGTGCCTCGCTGAGTGACGTTGTGCCGTGCCGTTCTTCCGACGCCGTCCTACCTGCCGCAGACCGAGTTTCATCTCCTTATTTTCCCACAGGTTGGTTCGCTTCAAAAACTCAATCCATTTTCCATTGTTGCAAGCAGAGAACTGATCAGTGTGATTCCTTTTGTTCAGCCTGTCGAACCGCCAAGATGTTCTCCGGACGCAAGTTCTCCATCAACCGCCACACTGGCGCCCCGAAGCCGCTGCTGCGACGCTTCAGCAACGTCGAGCCGTCGATGAATGGTTAGTTCAGGCCTCTACATGCAATCTGCGGACATTTTGCACGGTGGGGGATGGCTGCGATGTCTGCTCCTGCGCTTTTCGACCACAAGTTTTCCACAAGATAACCTTGATCCCAATCTCTGGGGTTTCCCCTCTGCAACTTTTCATCGCGATAGTGGCAGCCCTCTGAATGGCGGCGGTGGCTTGAGTGTTTCTCCTGTCCAAACCCCGCCAACCAACTTGCACCCAACCAACCCCAACTCCCAAGCCCGACTACCCCTCCCCCGCAGCGGTTAGCCCAGCGCAGCCACCGCGGACTCGCGACGGGAATCCCTTCATCTTGTCTGCATTGGGATTGCGAGCCCGACGCCTGATTGTGGTTCGAAAGCTGACTGAGAAGGTGGCCCTGCAGAGATCCAATCCAAGGTCCACAGACAATTCCGCAATGCGCACGAAGGCCACATGCCCCACGCCGGCCTCGACGCCAGCCGATCGTCCACCGGTGTCATCTGGTGCACTGAGCGCGCCAGCGAGTACGGCTTCCTGGACGAGCCCGAGGCGTGGGCCAACCTGGGCCAGGGCGCCCCCGAGGTCGAGGACGACATTGCCGGCTGCTTCAAGCGACCAGAGACCATCAACCTCAGCGTAGCGGCGCGCGAGTACGGCCCTACGGCCGGCATCAAGCCCCTGAGAGAGGCCGTCGCCAAGCTCTACAACGAGATGCACCGCCAGGGCAAGGAGAGCAAGTACACCTGGGAGAACGTCGCCATCGTGCCCGGTGGCCGTGCCGGTCTGATCCGAATCGCCGCCGTCCTGGGCAGCTCCTATCTGTCCTTCTTCTTGCCCGACTACACGGCGTACAACGAGATGTTGAGTCTGTTCAAGAACGTGAGTCTTTGGTTTCTAGAGTATGACAAGCTAGGCAGAAATTTTGGCTGATACGTGGTACAGTTCGCGGCTATCCCCGTGCCCCTTTCCGAAGAGGACGGCTACCACATCCACCCCGACAAGATTGCCGAGGAAATCGCCCGTGGTACCTCCGTCATCCTCACCTCCAACCCTCGCAACCCCACCGGCCGGGTCGTTGCCAACCCGGAGCTGGCCGAGATCCAGGACCTTTGCCGAGGCCGCGCCACCTTCATCAGCGACGAGTTTTACTCCGGCTACAACTATACCAGCAACTGTGATGGTACGACCATCTCGGCTGCCGAGAACGTCGAGGATGTCGACGAGGACGATGTCCTGATTATCGATGGCCTCACCAAGCGCTTCCGACTGCCCGGATGGCGAATTGCGTGGATCATCGGTCCCAAGGGTGAGTTTGGATCCATTCAAGAAACGGATGTACTAGCCCGGAATGCTAACTTTCTGTGCCTTTATAGAGTACATCAGCGCGTATGTTTGACTCGATGAAACGTTACTGTATTGGAGAGACGGTGCCACTAACAGGCTGTTTAGTATCGGCTCATGCGGTAGCTACCTGGATGGAGGTGCTGTGCATGCCCTTCAGGAGGCTGCCATCCCCATGCTTGAGCCAAGTGTGGTCCAAACCGAGATGATTCACCTGCAGCGCCACTTCCGAGTTTGTCCCACCAGAGCACAGAAGCCTTTTGAACATGAAGTCTAACTAGTCATTAGGACAAGCGAGACTACACGGTCCGACGTCTGCGTGAGATGGGCTTCTCCATCAAATACGTCCCTGATTCTACCTTTTACCTGTATGGACAAACACACCAATCCGGGCGTCCGTTGTGCACCAGCAAGCTAACCCTGACCTCCTAGGTGGCTGAACCTCGAGGGTCTCCCCGACGCTATTTCCGACGGGCTCAACTTCTTCCAGGCCTGCCTGGAGGAAAAGGTCATTGTTGTTCCCGGCATCTTCTTCGACCTGAACCCCTCCCGACGACGTGACCTGTTTGACAGCCCGTGCCACCACTTCGTGCGTCTGTCGTACGGACCTAGGATGGATGTCCTGAAGCTCGGCCTCGACGGAATCGAGCGGGTGGTCAACAAGTATGGTTTGCCCCAGGCATTTTTGAGCTTGTCTCCCAGCTAACCTTTCTGCTTTTCACTTTAGGTTCAAGCGATCCACCTAGATATAGGGAATAGGAGAACACCTGAACTATGCGATATGAGCCTCGGACGTCGGAAGTTGCCCCTTCAAGGCAACATCAGCCTTGACCGAGCCCTTCACCGCGGACAAGAGGAGGCGAAGGTGAAGTTTTTGGACGGTAGGGGGGAGTAAGTTGGGTGGAGTGTGGAGGCTGTGGGAAATGCATGACGGAAATCTGATGAACTATGAGAGGAACGGAGTGTCAGATGGCTGAACCGTCGGCGGATGATGACCAGCTGTGAAGCCAACACGTAGCGCCTTGAATGAATTACACTGTTTGAGACAAGTCCGAGTGTCAGCCGCCGAGCCTTGGTGCACGCAGAGCCGAGGCTGCTCAGCCTTGCGCCTCATTGCCTCCTGGGTCTGCTTTAGTACCGCCGTTGACGGGCCGGATACATGCTCGTCTTGCTCGGTTCCTTATATGCTCTCCGCTCATGCTAATTAACCTGGGGGAAGACATGAACTAGCCGAATCCCTCAAGTGTCTCCCAGGGGAACCATCTCCAAGCAACCGGTTCTCTGGAACCCACTAGCAGTAACTGATGCTGCATGAGAAGCCACAGTCTAGGATGATTGGGTAATGGTTGTGACAAGGCAGGGGGCAGGGCTTCTCGAATGTAGGCGGTCGCATAGACGGTCTAGATCGACCCTCCGAGCTTACCGATATGCTTTTCGAGGCATTGCCCTGCCTAGGAATCTCGGTTGCTGTCAGTGCTTGGGAATGCGTTGCTGCCTTGTAAGGCAAACTGGAGGCGTGAATATGCCGTGGCTTATATGGCCGAGTATGGAAGTTTGCATGTCGCTAATCTGAGGCTAAGGACGCCATGCGTTACCTGAGCCCCTGGCTGCGCCACAGGGTCTAGAAAACTTACATACCAAGGCGATGTCGAAGAATGAAGTATGAAAATTGAGGGATGGCAAAAAGTTGAATTAGGGTGCCTATCATATGACGTATTGAGATCAGTTACAAGGGAGTTTGTGTAGACAGTCTTCAGGCAGTCGCTTCTATAGGCGCATGTTCTGTGGTTTTATGATCGCTGCGAGTCCTTTTGATGTCAGCTCTTCCGCTATGTGCCTTGCCTGAAGCCTGACCAGATCTCGAGATCTGCTAGTTGAGGGGGTTCCACCAGCGGCTTGTTAGTGCGTCTGCTAGTTGCAGCACTTGTCTGGGCGGTGGCAGGGCTTTTGATGCACCATCAAGCAACTTTATATTGTCACTACAACTTGGCATTCTCCATCTGGTTCATTCCCACCGCACTTGCAAGCAGTGAAAGCGGAAGCCTAACATCCTATTCGAATTGTACTCCGTAGTTGATCAAATCTTCTAATTAGGAGTAACTGTGAATGGCATGACGCGATTTCGAGTAATCATCTGAGTCAAAGCGCAGGAGCGGGCGCAAGGGCAGGCGAAACGAGTGAGGTGTATGTACTTCATTGGACAGAGGTATCTTAGCTATAAAAGACGTGGCCAAACATCTGAATTAGCAAAACAGCCAAACAAAACTGATCTCGGCAGCTTTTTAATGGCATTTCTTGTTTGCCGCCTCCTATTCCAGATTGCCACGTTCACGTTGTCTTGACTCGAGCATTCTTGAGCCTTGATATATTTCAGGTACTACAAGCAAGCTCCTGCCACATCTTGGCATCACTCTTGACAAAGGAAGTTGCGGCTCCCTGCGTTTGCTGCCTCCTGTGCAACTCTATCCATCCGCCATTGCCTTATTTAACAGCTCTTATCGTCTAAATTAGGCAGTACTTCATATTTGGGGATTACTGGCAGGAAATATCAAACAGACAAAGCAAACGCATCAATATTTAACCAGGCCGCCATCCATCACCCACGGACCAGTCTTCTATCAAAACACCGACATCTTTCACTTTTACTACTTCTTTCTTTACAACTCCTCCCACGATACGGAGTTCGAGATAACCATTGGATAAGAACAGCGCATCAACCATAATGGGCCTATTTAGCAGGACCAAGCCTACGGGCTCTGGCAAACAGAACAATGAGGAACGGAATCGAAATGTTGAAGAGACTGAGAAGAGCAAGTCGTCTTTAGCTTCAATTAATCCATTTTCAGGTATGTTTCTGTCAATGTCTCAGATTCTCCGACTTTGCTACTTTACGAGGAGAGGCGGTGGATGCTGCTTCTCTGTCGGGGGACAATGTTGGATGCGTGAAAGCAATAGTTGGGATGTAGCAATGCTAATGTTCCCCCTTTTCTACAGATGCCGCAGCGGAAGATGCGCCACCAGCATACTCTCAACAAGCTCCGGCCGCTGCAAGGACTTCCTCACTGAGGCTGTCCAAGATAACAGATCCTGACGCCCCGCACGCCTTCCTGGCATACTTTGACACCGTCTTCATCATCGACGACTCTCGGTCCATGGAGGCTGACACTCGCTGGAATGATGTCCAGAAGGTCCTCGGCTACATTGCCCCCATTTGCACCACATACGATGAGGACGGCATCGACGTGTACTTTCTGAATCACAGAAATCGGCAACAGCTGGGACCGAGGACAGATAGCAAAGCCAGCGGTGGCTACTACAACATCCACGACGCCGCAGCAGTCGACGGCATCTTCAAAGAAACCCGTCCCCGGGGCGGCACCCCCACGGGCACACGCCTCAGCGACATCCTCGAGCCCTACGTTGGGAGCCTGGAGGAAGCCAAAAGGACGGGCGAGCAGGTCAAGCCCGTTAACATCATCGTCATCACCGACGGCGAGGCGACGGTCGACCCGGAAGACGCCATTGTCAGGTACGCCAGAAGGCTCGACCAGCTCGGCGCTCCGTCGCATCAGGTCGGCATACAGTTCTTCCAGGTGGGCGACAGCAAACAGGCCAGGCAGTGGCTCAAGGATTTGGACGATCAGCTCAGGAAGCATGGCATCCGGGACATGGTGGACACGGTGACCTGGGGTGGGTTTGCTGCTCGCTTTTTCAAGACGCTTTCTGCGGATGCGATCCTCAAGACTGTTCTCGGAGGGGTTGTTCGTCGTCTGGACAGGAAGCCGTCTTGAGGGTATACATTCCTCCCGCCATTTAGAGAACCACGATGGGCTTCCAAAAGGTTGCTGGTTTGGCTGTCTTGCATTTTTGGTACAGGAAACCACCTACGCAACGAAAAGAGTAATGGCGGTGTTCTGATTTCTTTGGGCGCAGAGGAGAACCATGAAGAAATCATGGAATTGGGGCGGCAAAGTCTAGATCATAGATTTATCACATTTGAGTACTAATACGTGTGCTGAATTTCAGTGTGTTGTCTGTGAATTACGTGTTCCTGTTGAGTGAAAGAGATTAACTAAGGTATTTGCCATTCAAAGCTAGGCTCATTGTCCCATGTGTGTCCAGACGGCAACATTCAGAGAAAAGGAAAGAGACGAAATCCTGTGATTGCTTTTGTTGAAATTTTGTCTGTCGATTTGGGGTTTCCCTGTCGGCGCTTGCTAAGATCCTCATTTGTTCCTTTATGCCAACGACGAAGTAGAAAAAGGGGGGAAAGATACCAGAGGACTAAGTACCTAGCCAGCCCTATACGCGGCGACTTGACCTTTCTGTATACTCGGAATGGGATGAAAATGAAATGAAAAACCAACCAACAGCCATGAAATCAAGAAAAGAAAGCCATAGAGTGCCGTAACCCAAATTCTCTCGCCTCGTCTCGTCTCTTCACTCTCTTTCAAGTGATGTCATTTTTTGTTCTTTTCTGTTCGGTACGTGTGATCTTCATAGTGGACACAACCCCCCCTCCCCTCATCACTGGATGCCTCCCCAACGATCAAGTCTCTCTCACTGCATGCAAAACACGTCCGCGAGAGAAACAGAGTGCGCCGAGATGTTGGACCCGGTATCGTTGCGGCACGTCACGACGGGCGTGGTGACGAGCGCGACGCGCCAGTGCTTGGCCTGCAGCTCGAGCGGGTCGCTGTTGGGCCAGATGGGCAGCATGCTCTGGGACGAGAAGCGGCTGCCGATCTCGGGGAAGCGGAAGTCAAAGGTGAGGCGGCTGGTGAGGATCTTGCACGAGATCTCGTACGCGGCGTCAATGACCTGCTCGAGGTCGCGGAAGGCGTCGGGCGAGCTGTAGAAGCGGTTCATGAGCGGCTGCAGGCTGGCGAGCAGCGTGTGGGTGGCCTCGTCGATCTTGTTCTTGACAAAGGGGCCGCCCTGCTCCTTCTTGACGACGGCTTCGATGACGGTGGCCATGCGGTCGAGGATGGGCTGGCGGACGACGGATGGTTGGCCTGGTTGAGGGTGTTAGTTTTTGCGTTGAGTGATGAGGGGGCTTGTGGACAGAGGGAGGGAGAAGGGGGAGAGACAGAGAGAGAGAAAGAGAGAGAGACAGAGGGAGAGACAAAGAGAGAGAGAGAGATGCGTATAGTACCTGCTGTGCGGTCGAGGTCTCGCTCGACTTCCATAATGGCAAAGGTAGAGTCGGCATCAGCGCCGGCCCAGGCGCTGGGGTTCCAGACGCGGTTCACGACAAAGTCGATGATGACGCGAGTGACGATGCACGACTTGGAGTTCTCGCTGCGCACGTGGAACTCGAGGTACGACTCGGCCTCCTGCTCCGACAGGGGGTAGTACGTGGCCAGCAGGATGGGCCACAGATGAGTCTGGCTCAGCTTCGTCTCGCCCGTGACATCGGGGTTGTTGGCATGGCGCTCGACAAAGTTGCGAATGGCCGCGTAAAAGTGCATCATGTATCCGTTCCAGGCTTGGACGGTCTGCTCCGTGATGGTGACCGGCGCCGGCTGACCCGAGTAGGGGCTGCGGTTGACGAGCGAGGTGGACGGGCCAGAGGTCGAGCCGCTGGACGAGGAGGCTCCAAAGTCAAGCGGAGGGGGCGGCGGCGGCGGCATGGCAGCGTTCTCACGCATGCGGCCGTTGTATCGGCCACGCGCCGGACCTGTTGGGGTGTTAGGGAAGTAGTCACGACCATATGCGAATGCGCTATTGGGCCTAGGAGGAGGGTTCTCCGGCATAGCAAACGCAGACTGCGGGAAGTTGTTCGGTCGGAACTGGTGATTGTTCTGGAATCCCTGACGAGAGGGAGCTCGGCCATAGGGAGGGCCAGGGAAGGGGGGCTTGTTGTTAAAGGGGCCGGGTCGGCCACCGTGAGGAGGCGCGACGAGGTTCCACGCGTTGGCGCTGCGGCGCTCGTGGGACATGGCGGTTGGTGGCCGCGGTGGCATGTTCTGATACTGGCCAAACTTGGGCGGCGGCGGCCCCATGGGAGGAGGAGGGCGGTGGACGGGCTGGAAGGCCGAGGCAGCTCGGGGAGGGGGAGGGGGAGGAACGTCATTGAAGACGCTGCCGTCACCCAAGTTCTGTTCTTGGACGGGCATCATGGGTTTCTGCTGGACAGGCTGCTGGCCAAGCTGCTGCATGGGCTGGTGAACGGGCTGGTGAACAGGCTGGTGAACGGGCTGCTGCATGGGCATCGGCTGGGTCACAGGCTCAATGGCCCGGGTGACGGATCCAACCCAAGGCGTACGCTGCTTGTTGGCTTGGCCTTCCAAGATCTGGATGGTGTTGTCGAGGATCTGAGTGGAATAGTTGTAGTTAGTTGGATTCAACTCTTGGGCATATCGGCGACCTAGAACGGCCTACCTTGACAATCATCTCGCTGTTCTCAGATGAGGAGGAGTTGTTCGGCGACTCGGTCCTCTGTTTGTCAGCCTTGTCCTTCAACTGCTTGAACTCGGTGGTAAGGTCCACGATGCATTCCGTCATGTTCTTCAGGGCGGCTTCAGCCTGCTCCCTGTGCTCTTTCTCCGCCTTGAGCTCTTCGCGGAGACTGTTGATGGTTTGGTTCTGGTCATCCGTTCTGGCCTTGGCAAGATTGGCTTCGATGCTCATGCGGGCAATTGCCTTGTCCGTGTCTTCCTGATCGAGATGGAGATTCATGACGGCCTCGACAAGTGCGCTCGTCTCCTGACTGATGACCTGGCCGACTTCAATGAGGCTCTGAATGATTTCGGCTGATTCCTTTGCGGAAACACCAGGCATGCGCCTCAGAGAATGCTGTATCTTGACCAGGATCTCTTGCGTGATGCGCGATTTCTCAAACGCGGGCTTCATAGAGACAGTTGGGTCAGTCACTGTGACAACAACGAGAAAGGGTAGAGACACTTACGTGATTATTAGACATTTGTTTGATCCTCTCAGACCGAGCAGGCCCGGCGAGGGGGGTGGAGAAGTTGACTGACAACATGTTCCCAATGACTTCAGCGGCTTCCTTGACTCCTGACTCCGTCAGGCTGATTGATGAGGGACGGGTATTGAAGCCTTCTTCAATGCTGAGGGCTTCAATGCTGCGGGTTCCAGAGTCCTCCCAGATCATGCTCTGCGGAGAGGAAGAAGTGACGAGAGGGTTTGGGCCGCACTCTGCGAAGTGAGAGAATAGGAGTGATAATGAAGGCAAAGATAAAGGGATGAGCAGGCTCGCAAAACAAAAGATCAGATGTGCCCCAAGCGGCGTTTGTACTATGCCTGCGTCAGTCCTGTGATGAAATGCCCAGTGAATGCAGACTGTAATAAAGTGGAAACGCAAACGAAAACAGGGACGGTTGCCAGGATACCAAGGACGCCAATGTGTTTGTTTGACCAAAGATTGGATCAGACAATCTGGCAGGGTGAATGATATGTCGAAAGGAAAACGTAGAGAGCCTAGGGTTGAGAGGCAAACCTGGATATTATGTCTTCTTGGACTCTGGACAGTAATCCCGTAGAACCTGTCCCAATACGCCAAATGCAAGGAGATCACGAAGATCGTAAAATAGAGAAAACTAGAGTTTCTGAAAGGACGGAAAGAGGTTGAATGTCGATACAGAGAAGAAGTATGCGAATCTCTCGCTGAGAAATGCTGAAAGAGGAGGACTCTCTCTCCTGCAAAGGGTGTGTTGTCGGGTTAAAGAGAGAGGAGGGAGAAAGATGGCAGGGGAAAGGGGGATAAAAAGCGAGGATAACCACAACGACGAAAAATCTTCGGCGAACCAAACAGGATTATCCCACAGCCACGTGGCGGAGAGGCCCAGAGCCGAGCGTGAAGTGAGAGCAAAGTGAAGTTATTCGCTCCTCCGAGGCGGGTACCGCAACTCGCGCAGACTTTCTGCCGGCCGGCGGCCTTCTCCTGAACAGCCGCCAAAAAGCCTGCGAGAAGCCGAGAAGTTGGGAGCCCATTGAGAATCTTCTGAGAGAAGGAGAAGAGTGAACTACCTCTGAATCTTCCAGGTAATAACAATGCTGTGAATGGCTGCACGATCGATGAAGAGGCGTAATGTTAGGGATGATCGTTGGCCAAAAGTGAGGAAGAAGTAAGAAGACGTACCAAGGTAAGAATCAGAAGCGAGCTGCCATCACGTGGCGTGACGCACTCGATGCTTCCAGTGTGTTTGCAATAGCCTCAACTGTCGTATCAAAGGACACGTGGTAGCGATTAACTGAATGTGCATGGAAAGGAAAGATCAAGGACAAGTGGGTGGCGTAGAGAGAGAAGAGCCAGAGTTGGGTGGGAAGGATGAACGACAATATAGGGCAGATCTGAGAACGATGATCATAGATCATACTATTACACCCCAATGGAAGAGTTATCGTGCTCAATAAAGATTCGCAAGCCGTATTGACCTGTCAACTTTGTCTGTGATGTTAGCCGGTTCCAGCAACTTGGCAGCAAATGCATTCAAGAATGATACGGGGCAATGCTGGTTGACTGGTATTTGCTACAGTATCAAACTAATCCTACACGATTCATGAAACGATTTTGAAAACGACTATCGACGGCCGCCCGAGGCGCCTAAACATCAGTGTGGGACATTGCCATACAGAGTTGCTAGAATGCATTATTAAAAGCACAGATTGCTGGCGACCAAGGCGCCCTTCCGTTGGATTCAAGAGTTCTGCTGCACCAAAAGACAAGCTGGGCGGTTTAGTATCCGGTTGGACAAAAGGAGTAACCTGCGTCTCGTCGCTATCCTGTAGTAGCACGAGTCGTCCCGAGTATTCTGCACATGCGGCACCGGGAGGACTAACAACGCGTTAGCGAGAGACTCGGGGCTGTTGTCCTGACGAGATTAGCTGCTTACCTCTCCACGTTCCTAAAACAGATGCACAGCGTGCATGGGAATAAGCATTAGCTTCAGATTGCCCGGGTGCGAGAGAACAAACTGCTGTAAACAGCGTCTACAACAGGTGACGCGTCGATCATTCGGCCACCAAAGTATCTACCGTTGAGACCCTTGATGGCATTTTCGCCGCCTTGGACCTTGTCAAACTTGAGATAAATGTCGCCCTTGGAGTTTGGATCGACCGAGATGTGCACGACGTGTCCGTATTTCTCTTCGGCTTCCTGACGGACTTCATCTTCAAGCTCTTTGACCCAGTCGTCGCCCTCCTCTCTGTCATTCTCCGTCAGCACATGACCACAGTATATAACGAGTCAAAAGTATGATACTTACTCAGCGGGATCGAACATATTGTGCAAGACAACACACCGGCTCGCCATGTTCACATTCACAGGAAGGGGCTTCGTCTCCGTCTTGGGCTTCAGAATCTGTTGGCGCTCGTCATTGCCGTTGGTCGGGGCTTCGTCGGTCCTGGCAAGCTTTCTCATCAACGCATCGCGACTATAGTTGTTAAAGTTGACACCAGCAACGTCCGTATCATCCAGAGCGCTAGCACCACCCGTCTTTTCGCTGTCGCGGCCTCCAGCCCGGTCGAATGTGGACTGCTGACCACGGCCACCTGCCCCGGAGAACGCAGAGCCTTGGAAGCCCTGGTTGTTACCGGAAAACTTGTGCATTAGGTTGGCGGTGCTCTCAGGGGTAAACTTATCGTTGCCGAGGCCAACGCGAATGGGGCGTCCAGCCAAGTCAAAGCCGTTCATTTTTTCCAGAGCCTCGCGAGCTTGGCCTGCATCTCGGAATCTATCGACAATTAGTATTGTGCAAGAGAGAATGAGAGAGAGGAGGGAGGAGCAGTGACTCACTGAACAAAGCCATAGCCACGGCTGCGTCCATTGTCATCTTTCTGGAGCTGAACAAACTCGAGTTCTCCGAAGGGCTCAAACACAGCTTGTAGGTCTTGCTCCGTGACGTTAAAATGGATATTGCCGACGTAAAGGCGATGAAAGGGGATGGAGTTGGGGTGTCCATTGGAAGAGTCTGGGTTGCGGGCCTGGCGATTCTTCTCAGCCTCTGTGTGCTGCACGATGACGGGAATGCCGAGGAGCTTCTGTCCGGTAAGCTGGAGGGCTAGCTGTACTGAGTCTTCGCTCTTGAACTCGACGTAGCCGACACTGTCGTCATGTTAGCAATGCACGGGAAGATAAACTGGCTGAACAATCACGCACCCTTTGGACCGTCCGCTGATTCGGTCTTTCACGATCTGAGCTTCATTAACGGCTCCGACCTTTTCGAAAAACTCCTTCAGCTCACGGGTCCGCAGTCGAGCGGCGAGCTGCTGGACAAAAACGGTGCGTCGATCTCGTTCGTCTTCGGTGAGCGCGGCCATGCCTCCGTCACGGCGGTCATGGCGGTCATCATCTCGACCACGGTAGTCGTTGGAGTAACGGTCGCCTCGGTCTCGTCGGTCGCGGCGATCGCGGTCATCGCGAGGGCGATAGTGTCGAGGGGGCGAACGGGAGCGCGAGCGGCCTCGGCCACCTCGATAGTAATCGCCGTCTCTGTGGCGACGTGAGTGACGGCGGTCATCATCACGGCTCCTGCTTCTCCGCCTACTCTTGTGACTGCCAGTGTCGCTACGGGGGGTGCCCACGTCAGGCGTCTCGCGGCGGCTTCGAGTAAGGCTGTAATCTCGACGGTCTCGGCGGCGGCGGTCGTGATCTCGGTCTCTATCCCTCACACGGCTGCCATCCCGTTCTCGGCCTTGATCACGATCGGAGTCTCTATCTCGCCTATCAGACTTGGCATCATCTTTGGAACGTTCAGCGTCAGGGCTCTTTGGCTTTTGCTCTGGGTTCTTAGCCGTAGCATCGAGCAGTGCTTCGACGTCCAGGTTGGACATGATTGACGAAGTGCCCTGGCGGGTGAATCTTGCTCAGGGAGGATCTTTCTAGGGTCTGAGGGCAGATACGGTGAGCGGTCAGAGAGAGCGACTGCAGCCGGTTGTGCGCATACAAATGCCTATACGTGCACTTTTTCCAATCGACAACGTGAAGGTCGTTGTCGAGATCAACCGCCACAAAGTTCTTTGGGAAGTTGGGATTTCAGGTCCCAGCACGGAGACTTTCTCCTTGGCTCGGGCATTTGGCTGGGAGGGGCGTCACGTGAGTGGATTTTTCACAGCGATTCCGGCGCTTATGTCAGCACAAAAGTTCCCCTGGTGCGAAGAGTCCGAATCTTTCGTGTTGGGATATTGTTATATTGAGATGATGCACAATAGTTTTTGACTGTCAATCAAATATACAGAAATAGTAGAAAAAAATAATGTATTCATTGAATTATAAGTGTGTATTAAAATGCACATTTGCCGGGTTATTGGTATCGCCTTGATCTCCGTGAGTCGTGGGAACCATCTTCAATATTTATCCATAAATCGTATCAGCAGCCATTGGTGTGTTTGCCTCTCCTTGCTTCCTTATACACGTAACGGCCTTGTGACCTCCGCCCGTGGCAGAGAGCTTCCTTTGCCATAGTTCCATTCATTATAACCAAAGCCCGCGACTTCCCTCATGAGAAAAACAAAAACGATTGGAGAGAAGAATTGATGTTATGATGCGAGCCCCCATGGACAAAGATTGGCTTGCAGAAAACATGTGTTGTGCTTTGCACTTATTTGGTCTTGACCAGAGTAGGCTTCAGCTCAGTGCCGAACACAGTGTCCCAGAATCTGGTGGTGACGCCAAAGCCAAGGTCGTACTCGAGGAAGTGGTGCTCCAGGTGGTACTTCTTGAGCTCCTTGTACCAGAGAGGCAGGTTCTCGTGGTGAAGGAAGTAATGAGTCAAGTCGTAGCAGATGTAGCCGAAGATGCCGCCACAGTAGACTGCGGTCGCAGCGTACCAGTTGTAGGCGAAGAGGGTGTGGGCGAGATACCAAAAGGGAGTCGCAAGCACCAAGAACATGGTCGGAGGCATGACCAGTCTGTACTTGTCCATGGGCAGGTAGTGGTGGATGCCGTGGAGCAAGAAGTGCGCAGTAATGCCGTAGTTGTTATCAGGAAGGTAGCTGTGTCACAGTTAGCAAGGAATGAAGCGGAAGAGCCAGTATACAAGGGGAGCAACGTACCCATCAAGGTGGAACAAGAATCTGTGCAGCCCGTATTCCACGAGGCTCCAGATAAAGAAGCCAAGGACCCAGTACGCGGCAAAGAAGATGGGGTTCTTGAAGCCCTGGAAGGCCAGGAAAGAGCCGTATGCGTCACAAGGCAGCCAAAGAATTGGAATCATCCACCAAGGGGTCTTTGAGAGAGGCTCCAGGAAATTGCCAAAGAGGGGAGCAGACTTGCCGCCCTTGTAATGGCGCGGACGGTGCACTTGGTCAAGATAAAACTCTTTGGTGAAGTTGCCGTACCAGAGCTGGGGAAACAGGGGCTTGCTAAGGTCCAAAAATTTGTGCTTCTTGTAGTCCTGAGTGTAGTCTGTGTCCTTGCTGAGATCCTCCTCGGAGGCCATGCCGGTCCTTGGGTGCACATATGTCTTGTCATCGGCAGCACCATTTCCATTGGCAGCCGCGCTCTTCTCAGGGACGACAAAGCCCACGAGGGAATCATCAAGAATCTCATATGCAGCCTCTGAGTGCGTGTGCGAAACGCTGTCTTTCAGAATGTCCTCGATGTCCTTGCCAGCATAGTCGACGATGAGCTGGCCGCCACCGGGGTGGTCAGACAGGAAATCGGTCACGTCAAAGACCTTGGTGCCAACGGTGACATAGCAAGAGCTTTCCGTGTTATGCGACTCGACCTCGGCGCGAGTAAACGTAGGGAGCGTTCGAGACGGCATTTTGTCGTTGTTTCCGCGAGGCTCGAAAGGCTCGAAAAGGCGGACAGGGATTGAAGAGGCAGTAGATGAAGACAGATCCGGCAGATCAAAGGCGACGTGCTCCGGTTGGAAGTTAAGAGGAGAAGGATTGGCGCATCTGACAAGCAGCCAGATTTGAAAAGAAAAAAAGTGAAAAGGAAAGGAGAGCGTGGCAGGAAGATATGAGTGAAGAATGAAGCACTCGCCACCTAATTGTTGGAAACAAAACAGAGAATCAGAATGGTCGAGTGGAGGATTTATTATCAGGGGCCGGAAGATTTCCTGAAGATCGGATAGGCGGGTTTCCCAGGACCCCCGATGACCAATTGTCGGAGTGGAGGATCCCCTGAAGCGACGCTACAGGTGGTTTGCTGGCGCTATGGCCCAGCACAGCGAGTGCTTACTGCCGTGCTAACGTGGTAGCGCTTCGGAAGCCGAGCTGTCAGAGTGGCGTTACCAAACGGAAGCTCAGCAGAGAGCAGGCGAAAAGTCACACCACCGAGAACAATAGAATCCGGTTGTTCTGCTTGGGCTTTCAAGGCTTCTGCCAACTGTTCTCAAGCAGCCAAGGGCCAACGCGGTAAGGGCACATAGTTCTCTGGATATGTGCCAATGGACCAATGGCAAACTGCCAATCACTGGAAGAGCACTGCTGAGGGAACACCATCTGCTTGGCTACCCGCTGTCATTGTCAGCTATTCACGACGATAGAATGGGAGATTCGGATAGCCTATCCGGTTCCCTGTTATAGCCTCGCCATGCAACTTGGCACCACGAGTCACGACCGTACTACAAGTCAGTCCCTGTAAGTCCCATTTTCAAGGGTATCGAGGGATCGCCCTTCGGCCTCATTGTGCTTGTGACACCGAAGAATCCGAACCATTAGTGCTGCGTTTATGGACGTCCGCTTCCCTGAACCCTCGCCATGGCGATGATTCCATGACATAAATCATCTCACCGCGAGTTGATTTGACTCTAGACAATACTACACTACAAGCACAATATTCCCGCTCTATTGAGCAAAAGGACATGGACCACCATCCATCAACCTGCCGCTGTGCCCCGCCTTTTTCTCGTCGAATTCGCCGCACTTTTTCATGTGTCAATGTGGCTTTAACAGAATGTGGCTTGTGCAAGGCTGATCAATCTCCCTCGGCAGCTTAGCCACAGTTCAGCCTTGAAGCTCAGCTTGGAAGGAACCCTGCAGGTACCTAAGGTACTTTCAGCCTGTACCTACTCCCAGCTCCTGTGGGAGAGGCAACCAATCTCACCCTGCAGAATACATATGACGACACACTGTGATTTGGCAGGAAAAAGGCAATAAGAGAGAGTCCCCATTCATCTGTGCTGTGGCTCGACAACTCTTCGTCAACGACAGAAGTCCAATAACCTCCATCTTTGGCTGTTTGTTTTCTTTGCTTTTGCTTGCTTCTCGCCCCGCCAACGTCGCTGCATCATGGCGTCATTTTCACCTCCGCGGGGCACCTGGTTGCTTGTGTTTTGCATCTGTCTCGTGCTGCTGCCGTCCCGAGTCGCAGCGTTTGGAGCGGGCAATATTCCGTCGATTGCGCAGGTTTGTCACTGTCGTTCATATGTGAAGTAAGGTATCTAGAAACTCACAGGCTCTAGGTTGAGGGACACAACTGGCGTCATGGAGGTGAGTGACACAGCATGTGATGCTGGAATAGGAACTGTGCTAGAGAACAACGGGACTGACGCTCATATCTCAGATATCGAGGACATGCTGTCAAGCATTGCCTTTCTTCACGGCAAGAAATGGACGTCGATGCTGATCAAGCGAACGTACTTCGGCAACTGGCTCCGTGACTACTCGCAGGCAGTCGACGTTGGCTCTCTCAAGGGCGTCAATGCTCCCACTATTCGCATCCTGGTAAGGCTTTTGTTGGCTGTTTGATAAGCGGAGAAGGCTCTATTAACGATTTGATCAAAAGGTCTGGGTTCTCTCATTCATGTCCTTTGGTTATGCCACGGAGGAATTCGAGGTGACCGAAGAGCGCTTGGGGTGCTACCGCCCGGAAGAACACATTGACAACCCCAAAGGCTACGCAGATGGCATCGACGCTCGAACGCTCGACCCCCGTCTTCGTGGGCCAGTTGACCCCATTGAGATTGACATCGATCTCAACACCGGCATGAAAAACTACATTGCCAACGAGACGGGTCGATGGGCTACCAGTGCCGGATATCTTCGCTATAGCTTTGCTCGCAGCATCCATTTCGGTCGTCTCTACACCAGTGGACCACAGAGAGGCAACGAGGCCGACCTCTGCGAGGCACTCAGATGCCTTGGCCAGGCTTTGCACTGCATGGAAGACTTTAGCGCTCACAGCAATTACTGCGAGCTGGCTCTCCGTGAGCTGGGCCATCGAAATGTCTTTCCCCACTGCGGCACGCAGTCTGAGATTACAGTCCGAGGAAAACGCATTTACCCCCTGGTGACTGGTACCTTTGGTGGCGTTGACTTTTTGCATTCGGTCATCGGCGAGGCGAACGACCACTTCACCCAATCCGAGGTCGACGAGGTCGACGTCGCTCTCCTGAATGCAGGAGCTGCTACGAGCGGCGGAGGCGGAGGCGCTTCTCGGGGCTTGTTGGATATCGTGGCCCCGAAGGACTTCATTTCGCTCATTTCCAAGATCCCGGGTGATGGCACGGGTTTTGCTGCTCAGGCTCGGGAGCTCAAGGCCATGTCTGAAGCTCAGGAGCGGGACAATGAAACACGCTCTCGCGCTGCAGGGAACTCTAACGTCGTTCCCGGCATGAGCCCGAACTTCGATCCGGTCAAGACTGCAAGGCAGATCTACCCGATTCTGCAGTTCCGCGACAGGATTGTGAAAGCCATTAGCCGGGGCATCGAAAAGGTTCCCGGCCTCGAAAAACTCCTCGAGCACATCAGCGAGACGCTGACGGCCTTCATTCTCGGCCTCCTCGCCCCTTTTATCAGGCCCATCATTAATCAGGTCTCAAAGGTGCTCAAGGATGGCTCCTCTGGCGTCATCAGCGCCAGTGCCAACTCTCAGTTCGAGCCGTGGGATAACCCCAGAAGCTCTGACCCGACACACTCCATGCTGTCAAAGGACCACTTTACCAATGTTCTCAACTCTTGTGCTGGGCGAATCGCAGCCACAGTTCTCCAGTACACCGTTCCGTAAGTATTATAGCATTTCCCGTCAGGCTATTCCATAATCGTTTCGCCTTTTAACATGCCTTCTCGCAGTCGTGTTCTCTACGCATGGGAGAACCCCAGCGTGCCTGTCGACGAAGTTGTCAACGACGTGCTGCGGGCCTTCCACCACCCTGCCCTGCGCAACGATCACGTCCAGATTCAGAAGGACATGTTCCGCACCGTCCAGGACTGGGTCAATGAGCATCCTCGCCGCCACGACATCGATCACCTCCTATCTTCCGAGTCGGTGAAACAAGGCAAGAACCACATTCTCAACCAGAAGAAGAAGGGCGGCGTCAGCGGTCACGCCCATGACGCTTGGGAGACGGTTTCGCAGCTCGGCCATGGCAAAGTTTCCGGTTCCCTCTGGGAGCAGGTCAAGACTCGAGACTTAAACTCCATGGAGGGCCATGATGGAAACCCGGCTCTGAACTATACCTCTAGTTCTCCGGCTCCGCCTTCACGCTATTCACCGCCGGCTCATGGGGGCTACGGTTATGGCGAGAGTGCCTCGTATGTCTCCCAGGCGCATGCGGAATCGTCTCATGGCCAGTCTGGGCATGCCTCTAGCTATTACCAAGGCTATCAAAGTCAACCGCAGCAGCCACCACAAGGATATGGCTCTCACCAGCCGCAGTATCAGCAGCCGCAGTATCACCAACCGCAACATCACCAACCACCGTATGGAGGACAGCCACCGTATCAGCAACCGCAATACGGCAGTGAGGAACAATGGGCTCAGGGCCAGCAGCCTCATGGATATGGAGGCCCGGCTCAGCCGCAGTATTCTTCATACCAAGGCTATCATCAGCAGTCTCCGTCGTATGGCTCTCAGCATCACGAACATCGACACGGGTACTGAGTGTATTAGGCTGGGCTTTCCTCAAATCTAGCAGGGCTTGGAAACTTGTAACGAGTGTCTGTGGGATGTCGAATTTTGTATGAAAGACGGCTGTGTTTGTTTATGAAAATTCTCTATGCTCTTCGTTTAGATGTGTAAAACTAGGAGATGGCCAAGCAGTACACGAGCTACGAGCTATGAGGACTATGAATGGCACGTTGACGAATCTCTATGATGCTTCATAAATCTTCTTTTCGAAACCGATCGTGCTCTCTTGTATGGAAGGAGTCTGTAGAAAACAGAATTTTGAACAAACGAAAACGGGAAATATACGCATCCCACGGCCACTCTCCAATGTATGCCTTGAAACTCCGTCCGGCCATATTCCACGCTATACACTGTATATACCTCCGTATATGCTCGCCAATCCCAGATAAAACAAGACATTCGCTATCCTTAATGCAGGTTGTTGTAGAACCCCTCCACCTCTGTCCGATAACATCCCATCCATCCATACAACATGGGGGATATATGAATCCCTCTGTCATGGTAAGCTCTACCGCTTCCCGCGTCGTCGCGGATCTTGCGCCTCCGCACGCCTGGCATCCCGAAACTCCTTGGTCCCAAGACTGCCCAGGCCGCCTTCGGACCGCCGCTCCCAGCCTCCCAGCCGGACGACCTGGCACGTCGCGTTGTCGCCGTCGTCGGAGACCTCGGTGGCGTAGTCGACGACGCGGCGGGCGCCCTCCTCGGGGGTCTTGGCCTCCTTGACGACGTCCACAATCTCCTGGTCGCTGAGCGTGCCCGAGACGCCGTCGCTCATGAGGACCAGGAAGGAATACTCGGCGGGGCCGAGCTCGACCCGTGTGATTTCCGGCTCGGCCGAGACGCCGATGCGCTTGCTCTTGATGTCCCCGAACGCACGGCTGTTGGCCAGCCCCGCGATGCGCTCCTCGCCGAAACTATCGCCAGAGACCATCGAGCCGGCGGGAGCGTACCTGCGCAGGCGTCTGCTCTCGCCCGGCGTGGTGGGGTGGTGGTCGGAAGTCAGGGGCTGGGCGAGCCCGGTGGCCGTGTCGCATAGCAGCACGCGGGTGTCGCCGACGTGCGCTACGATGAGCGACGAATGCGCACCAGGGTGCCAAAAGGGCACGGGAGTCGGCGTCGAGATGAGCACAATGGATGCGGTCGAGCCTCCCTTGAACCGCGTTGCGCCGCCAATGACGTGGCCCGAAGGCGTGGCATGAGGCTTTCCGAGGATCTCGTCATTGTTCAGGGGGCTGTCGCAGACCGTCGAGTCGTCCGGGTCGACCTTTCGGGCCTGGGCGGAAACGAAGTCCAAGTCGGCGCGCAGGAAGGCGTAGGCGAGGGCTGATTCGACCGAGATGGTGTAGTTGTCGCCATCCTCGGAGAGGTTGAAGTACTCTGGCTGGAAGCGGCGGAAGTATCCCCCGATGGAGACTCTATACTCCTGGATGAGGGCCTTCTTCAACCTGACGGCCTTTGAGTAATCGGATACCTCTACGGGCACCGACTTGGCACTGGGGAGGGGGTCTCCATGCCGCGGCGCATTGACGACTCCCACGTTATCATCCCGAGTTGGCAGTTCAATATCATCCTTCACCTCTTCAGGGCTCTTCATGTGTACGTTGTCGAGAGCCTGCTTGCGAGTCACCGGCTTTCTGGAGACATCCCAAGGGTTCTCTTTGCGCAAGCTGCTCTGCAGGCCAAACTCGGCTGCCGCCTCCTCGATGTATCCGTGTAGCTCGTCGCGCAGGAAATGGGAGCATTGGACTCCGCCGTGACCATCAAAGACCCCAAAGTAGAAGATCTGGGGATCTCCACAGGCACTGCCCGGCATGGTCGGCTCCCCCGGCTTCTGCCTGACGCTCGTCGGTACCCTCTTGGCAAACGCCGGCATGTCGATGATGCCGGCCTGGTCCGCATCTTCGTTGTAGGGTCGATTTCCTCGGGCCGTCGCCGTGCCAAAGTGGTGCTTCGCTCGCCGTAGGGGAATTCGCACGACTGTGAGATCTCGGCTGGGCATGTTCGGTATCGCAACCGCCGGGGCGGATCCGGGGCTCGGGGTGTGCGGCGTCGAGGCATCGCGAGGCAGTTTGTGGCTCGGCCCGTGAGGCCTGCTGGAGTCTGGATGCAGGGAGGACGACGGAAGGTGGGTGATGAAGTACGTGTGGAAGTAGCGTCGAGCAGCCGGCTGGACGTGGGCTCTGGCTTGTCTCATGGGCAACCTCACGAAGGTGTCGCGAGTTGTAGACACAGATACCCCGCGGGCTCCGCATCGCCAAGGACGTGCGGCTGGTATAGCAGCAGCAGCAGCAGGATGGCATCGCCGTCGATGGCTTGTCGTGCTCTCATTCCTCAGCGGAAGGGCATCGTCTGGTGGTAGCGGGTTCTGTTGGGTGCCTGTGCAGGCGGCTCGCAGCGAAGCCGGTATCGCAGGAATGGCAACGGAGTCGGGCGAGATGTGTGCAGCGGCTCTGGATGCTGAGGACAGCGCTTTACTTGCCAGGCTGGCCATTGGAGACTGTGTGCGCTGGCCGATGCACGAGATGCGCAAGCCCAAGCATCAGGTGTCGCTTTCGTAGTCGAATTGCTGCCAGGTTGCCGTCGCTCACAGCCATGGGCTCGCGGTTGGGGAGGCGGGAGGAGGTTGGACGTCTGAGGCCAAGGGCCAGCGGTTGGATGCCCGGATACCCAGCGATTGCACTCGACTCAAGAGTGGGCGTTTGTCAAGAGGATGATCAAAGAATAAAACTAATGGAAATAGGAGAAAGAGAAGAGAGACTCGTGGTTGGGCTCCGAATGAGCTTCCAAGAAGAGGCAACGAGTGGAAGGGGGAAATTGCTCGGGAGGCTGCAGATGGTTGAGAGAGGGAGTTTCTGCCAACCAGAAGCCAGCGACGACTTGTTAAGGCGCAAGGCTGCTGGATTTTCTTTGTTAGAGCGTCTTTCTGCTTGTTTACGTTTGTAGTATTGAATCCATCAAAGGATACGGTACCAGTATTCATAAAATTGATTGTGAATAATTATTTCAAGAGAAATCAGGATTTAGGAGCAGCAATACCCAAAATGATGCCTTATATTTACAGCCTCAAAACAGAAGCCATCGTCTGGTCTGAGCAGACAGAGGCAGCCCGATGAGGTCAATGCATGATAGTACTACTAGTAGTATCACGGCTGTTGGTTCTTGGCCTTCAAACTCGGCTGCCAGGGCCCCTGCAGGCTCTCAAACAGTGCATCAAACGCAGGGGTCCAGCGTGGTGGATGCAAGCACGAGCCGCTGGAACTCTGGTGCCTTGTCCGCTGCAGGTTCAACGATGCATTCGCACCCGATCTTCGTCGACAGGGCGAATAAACAGTTGAGTCCTGGGTGAGTATGTAATAATCTTGGGCCATTGACGTTGATGCCTTGCCGTCTGGTGCTTTAGCTTCCGGCACTGCGAGGGCGCTAAGCCGGCTGTTGGAGCTGCCCCAGAGCAGGCATCAAAGCGAGAGAGGCCAGGAAAAGTGAATAAAAAGTGAATAAAAAGACGTGAGAAGAAGCTGAAATTCCTCGAGCATGGTTAGCAAGCAGCAGCGTCAGTAGTATTATTACCTTGGGCATCAGGGACTCGGCTGCTGGATAGGGGGCCTTGCCTGGCTGATATCAATCAACTGCTACGCCAGCCGGCAGCTTCAGCTTCTGCACTTCCTCCACTATCAAGGCAAACCACACAGCTGCTCGACTGGCTCGCCGATCAGACCCTTGTTTCCACCTCTTGCATGTCGATAGCATCCTTTCTTCTCCTTTGAAGCATGGACGAGGCTGCAGCGGCGCCTGCAGAGGCGGAATCCGACGCCTCGAGCGCCAAACCAGAGCGCCCAGGACCACAAGTCATTGCCGTGGCCGATGCCGGCGATATCATCCTCGACGTGACCTTTGAGACGTCCAAGGAGACGCTCCGCAAGACCAGCAAGGCGACGGCGTACGCCAAGAAGCCGGGTGCTCCCCAGCCCGCCCTCAAGACCAAGGTGCGGGTTGCCTATCGCGTCAGCCAGGCCGCCCTCAAGAAGCACTCCAAGTACTTCGACAACCTCCTGTCCAACTCATCGTTCCGCGAAGCCGGCCTCATCGCAGAGGCACACAAGAAGCTTGCGGCCAGGCAGATCAAGCCGGCAGAAGCAGATGCCGCGGACCTGCCCTGGATCACCATCACCGACGATGACGAAGCCACCAAGGCGGCAGGCCGCGAGCATGCGTTTGAGGACATGCTCCGAATCATGCATCAGAAGCCGCCCAAGATGACGAGAGTGACCCTTCAGGACGCCGCTACGATTGCCATTCTCGCGGATCGCTTCGACTGTATCACCCTCGTGGCTCGCTCCAGCCTTAACGGGGTGCGCTGGCCAGTGACGACCACGAAGCCTTATACTGACGAGAGCGGCCGCTACACAGACGCCGAGGAAGTCCTGCGACAAAAGGTTCTGGTTTCCCTGCTTCTAGGTAACGGCATGAGACTCCATCAGGCAGCGCGGGAGCTCATTACGAGGGGCTCTCGGCTCTGGAGCGAGTTTCAGTATCGCGACGAGACTCTGACGGCTGCGTGGTGGCATCTACCCGACGGCATCGAGGGTAAGTGGCGATTAGTCAAGACATTCAGATGGTTTCCACGTTGAAGAAGTCGACTAACAGAACACAATAGAGGAACTGCAATACCGCAGACAGTGCGTCTTAAACACCATTGCCTCCGCCCAACGCCACTTCCTCGATCTGTACTGCTCAAAGGAGCGCCAATGCAAGCTGGGATACGACTCCAGCGTTGCATGCGACTCCTTCCAGCTAGGCCAAATGGTAAAGTTCCTGACGTCCAAGAACCTCTTGTTCCTCGTGGACTACACCCCGGCGTCCCTGGAGAGGGTGCCCGACGCCGCCACGGTCAACATCGACGACCTGCTCGCTACCCTGAAGCAATGCCCCAACTACCAGGTCGACAAGAATCACACCAACTGCGGCCTTAGAACGCGCCTGGAGCCAATCGTCGACTACATCCGGGCCATGCTGTCCGCGAGCGGCACATCCATTGCGCACGCTGACTGGAAGAAGCGTCGGTCCGAGGTGTCGTGGACGATGCTTAGGGATGGCCAAGGCACAGGCGACACCCATGAAGATTCACGGACATTTGTCTTTACTCGCTCAGTGGCCAACGACCAGCGGCTTCGTTATGAAAATGCCATGTATACTGATCGGTTGTCTAGAAGCCTATTCACGGCTAGCTCGTGGGATTGGACGCCCGAGGCTTAAACGCTGGGTGACCGAGGTTTCGATGGCCCTTGGTTTCACAAAGAAGCTTCAAGACCTGATAAACTGGAAAGATTACTTTTGACTGCACAAGGATAAGGCCTTGTGTGTGGGCGTATGGAGCGCATCGCGACTGATTGACGGCTTCTACCGTCAACATGTATCCCAGGTATGAGGACGACAATGTTGCTTTGAAGTTGGAAGGGAATACCGAATGAAGCTACCATGTTCGTTACGAGGTAACTTTCTATGACGACACAGAGCTGAGATTCTGAAGTATTATTGCAGGAGGGTATATTCATCATATTCATTACGAGATAACTCTTATAGAACAAGACAGAGCTTGGGACACTTTATATGAACATGTATCAAGACGACATCACTGTGCCCTACATATCTCCTCGGTGACAGCCATTTCCTTTCCGTGCCCGTGTCTACTTAGTTGAGAGCGGTAGTCTTCTCAGCGACGTTCTTGTTCTCGGCGACATCGTGGCTTTCACTTCCGCTGCGAGCCTCGGTGTCGTACGGGACGACAGCCTTGGCCTTCTGGAAGGGCCATCGCCCCGTGGTCTCGCGGAACCGGATGAGGATGAAAGAGGCCATGACGAAGAGCCAGTAGATGTTGTACGAGATGACGGAGCCGTAGGTGGCGGAGTTTGTCCAGCCGAGAATGGCCTGGAAGATGCCCCAGCCGCCGTTGTTGGGGACATTGGGGTTGCAGCACTATTCGATCCCATTTGTTAGTTTTGAGCTGTCCCTCCCTGACCGAACTGGTTTGCGTTCGCTTGACGGAATGCGTTGAACTTACATTGACGTGCCACACGACGTTGTCAATGTCGTAGGATCCAGGGCCGGAGCCAAGCTCGGAGGCGTCGCTGCCGACAATCTTGTTCCACTTGCCTTGCTCAAGGGACCAGACGGCACGGGAGAACAGGCCAGCGCCGACGAGATACAACAAGCAGGTCGACGCGACGAGGAAGTACTGCAGCTTCGTCGATGAACCTCCCCTATAAGCCCTGTATTAGACATGATCTCACTTATAGATGAATTGGAAAAAAGAGAGAGTAAAAAGACAGCTTTCACTTACTTGTACAAGAGATACCCAACAACGCCGCCGACAAGCAGCCCAATGACCACAGGCAGCGGCACGGCATACGCGGGCGCCGAAAACGTGACGCCGGCGACGAAGACGACCGCCTCGATGCCCTCGCGCAGGACGGTGATGAAGGGCAGGAAGAACATGGCGTACTTCTCGAGCATCTGGGCGAGCCAGCTGCGGTCGGATTTGCCAATCTTGATGGGAGCCTCGATGGCCTTTGCGAGCTTGGCGCGCCACTTGTCCTGCATCTTGCCGATGCGCAGCAGGGCGGCGCCCATGAGGGTGATGATGACGGAGGCGACGAGGGAGAAGGCGCCCTCGTAGTACTGCTCGCTCTTGTCCCAGGTGTTGGAGCCGACGGTGTAGAAGACGCCGATGAGGGCGGCGGCGATGATCATGCAGAGCAGGAAGCCTGTTGCGACGCCGATCCAGATCTTATGGGCGTGTGTCAGTAGAGGATTGGTTTCTCTGCACATTGAAGATGTTTTTTTAAAGACTTACCTGCGCTCGCAGTTTCTTGTAGACCTTGCGGTCGGCGTTGGGGCCGTCGAGGGTCTGCTTCAGAAAGGCGAGCAGCACGGAGACGATGATGACCGTCTCCAGCGTCTCGCGGAAGACGACGAGGAAGACGGGGACTGAGAAGACGTCCTTGGCCATTTTTTGTGTGGGAGCAGCACTAGTAACCACTATCGCGAGCAGAGAGAGACGGGAGAGGATGAAGGGGCAAGGAAGAAGAGGGAAGAGACGAGGGGATATCGACTCATACAACAAGGGAATACTAATTGGTGATAAAAGACGGCGGTGGTCGGCAGCAATAAGAGCAACCCAAGGCGCCGCACAGAGACCGGGCAAAGATGGACCAGGGCAGGGGCAGAAAAAAAGAGAGAGCCTCAGCCGGCCTAATTCAATCGACCGGGTCTCCTCCTCGTCCGACTCGGATCAGATAAGCTTGATGGGGAAGTTTGTCAAGAAGTTTACTTTGATGGAGCACATGTGGTGTGCGGTCCCGCTCTTTGTTTCTGGCCTTGTGTCTCTCTCTCCACTCTCCTGCACTACTAGCCGGGATGACTGGGGTCGAGGGACAGAGAGAGAGAGACAAGACGGACGACGAGGGAAAATATTTCCCTGATGGTCTGAGTGCTACCTTGGCTAGGTGGCATGGGTGGGAATAGAGCGGCTAAAAGAGGAGGGCAGGTCAAGAGAGGGCACGAGCCGACAAGTTCCGCGTATCGTATGTACGAAAGAATGGGAACCATCGGCAAAGCGCCGAGGCTGCATGAAGAAGCCGATGGTGGTTGCATGTGCGTTACTGAGCCGTGTAGTGATGCTAATACGACTTGAACGACGTATGGTGTTAGTTGATACTACAGCAGTGCAGGAAACCGTCGGCAGAAGTCGTCGTCCGAGGTGGATGCCGAGCAGAGGACGGCTGCCAAGACAAGTTATCTGATCCGAGAAATGGCATGTCTTGGCTGATTTGCCGAACATCCTGGCGCCTTGGCTTTTACATACGGAAGGGCGTCGGCATCTTGTGCCCATGTGAAGGCGGCGGTGACACTTGACCCAGATTGTCACAGGTTCCGGGTTGAACACCTGAGCCGTGTATAAGCTTATAGGACTTCGTACATACCATGTACGACCAGGACACCGAATCATCTCCTGCCCTGTCAGGAAAAACAAGACAAATTTTTTCCCACCGGCTCCATCACAAGGGACAATTCTTTGCGCGCCATTTTGCATCCCGGGCCCCATACTCTCGGCCAACAACGTGAAGTTAGCAAGGATGGTGAAATAAAAAGTCCCGGATGTTTCCAGGTTTCCTGATCATCTTATCTGATCAAGCTAGCGATTTATCAATCAGCCCACCATCAGCTGCAGCCCCGCACCGATCAGAGCCATAATTGGCCAGACTTCCCATCAGTGGAGCCTCACTGATCTCTTTGCGATCCCTACTGGCCAATCACAGACGCCAATTCAGCCCAAGGATTTATGCTTGAACCAGCCCTCACTCGCCTTTTTTGTATTTTCCCTCCAGAGTCCAGGGTTCGTCTCTTCTTCCTAGGTAGTATGTAGTATGTATGTAGGCTAAAATCCTCGCTGATGGATGCATCACCCACCATGTGGATGGACTTGCCCGCCCGCCCGCCAAACAACGTGCTTCCCTGGGCCGAGGGCCGTTACCCACAACGCAAACAAACACCGCAAATAAAGATTGTGTAGCTTATTTGTATGCATGATCCTTGTTTCTCCCCTACGACCCTCCTTCTTGTCCTCGTTGGGGATGGTGAATTTTTTTCCCAGTCTTTCCTGATGGAGCCCCTTGCTGCCAGCCGGAGGAACTGCAGAGCCCGATCCGTCCATCCAAGACGGCGGGAACGAGGCAAAGCGAGACATTCGGTCGTATCCGAGGCCTGATCTTGACTCCATTCAGCAGTGAAAAAAATACATTGGAGCATCAGCTGGGTGACTCTCTTCGACCTGGATCCTCTCTGGACGGTGGAGCGGGTTGCAGGAACTAGCAGGTTGGTGGCGGGCTTTGCACCGAGCCCACATGCAGCCATGTTATATGTAGGTAGTATTGCTTTATCAATCTCTCGTGCGATAATCGGAAGACTTCTCTCAGCGTTTTCTGCCGTCGACTCGGAATTGAAAGGGCTGTCGCGTGTGAGAAGCCGGTAACATCCTCCTAACTCGTGCTTCTCTTCTCTTCTCCCCCTTCCTTTCCCCCATCTCCTCCATCTACCATCCCCCTCCCCCCTTCATCCCTTCTTAACCGTCCGCTCTGCTCTTTGTCCCGGAGACGTGAGACGGGGCTCAGCTGGCTTCTCAAACTCCTCCTCCCAGCAACACCCTTTGGTGAGACACAAACCCCTCCGGCAGACATGAACAGCCTCACGCGGCTGTTGCTCGCCGCCTCTCTGGGCGTTGCCAGCGCGGCCACAGTCAAGTATGACTTCAACATCACTTGGGTCACGGCCAACCCGGACGGGGCCTTTGCGCGCCCCGTCATTGGCATCAACGACCAGTGGCCCATTCCTCGCATCGAGGCCAACGTGGGCGACCGCATCGTCATCAACGTCAACAACCAGCTCGGCAACCAGTCGACGTCGCTGCACTTCCACGGCCTGTACATGAACGGTACCACGCACATGGACGGGCCCGTGGGAGTGTCTCAGTGCGCGATTCCCCCGGGTCACTCATTCACGTACGACTTTACAGTGAGTTTGAGGCCGTTGTTGCTGCTTTACTCTAAAATTGAGAGATATGACCTGTATAAGTCGTATTTCTGACCAAAGACTAACATGTACACCACAGATTGATCAACCTGGCACCTACTGGTATCACTCTCACCACAATGCGCAGTACCCCGATGGCCTTCGAGGTCCTCTCATCATCCACGACCCCAAGTTCCCCTACAGGAAAGAGGTTGACCAGGAGCTTGTCCTGACCCTCTCGGACTGGTACCACGACCAGATGGCTACCCTTCTCCCTATCTTCCTGTCCAAGAACAACCCGACTGGTGCTGAGCCCGTGCCCAAGGCGGCGCTGATGAACGAGACTCAGAACTTGACCGTCTCTGTCGAGCCCAACACGACGTACATGTTCCGGGTCATCAACATCGGCGCCTTTGCCGGGCAGTACCTCTGGATCGAGGGACACACGATGCGCATCGTCGAGGTGGACGGCGTCTACACTGAGCAAGCCGAGGCCGAGATGGTTTACATCTCTGCCGCTCAGCGCGTCAGCTTCCTCCTCACCACCAAGAATGACACTTCTGTCAACTTTCCCATTGTCGCCAGCATGGACACGGTAAGAAATTGGCCCCATGATGAAGCACAAACATCCCCATGTCACGCTGCTAATTAGATTCAATCCACAGTCCCTCTTTGATACTCTGCCAGAAGACCTCAACTACAACGTCACCGGCTGGTTGACCTACGACTCCCAGGCCACCCTCCCCGAGCCCGCGCTGGTCGACGAGCTCGACCCCTTTGACGACATGGACCTCGTGCCCTACGACAAGATGGAGCTGCTCCCCGAGCCAGACCAGGTCGTCGAGCTCGACGTCATCATGGACAACCTCCGCGACGGCAAGAACTACGCCTTCTTCAACAACATCACCTACACCCACCCCAAGGTCCCCTCCCTGTACACCGCCCTGTCCGCCGGCGACCTCGCCGACAACGCCGCCGTCTACGGCGAGTACACGCATCCCTTTGTCCTCAACAAGGGCGAGATTGTGCAGATTGTCGTCAACAACCTCGACTCCGGCCGTCACCCCTTCCACCTCCACGGCCATGCCTTCCAGGCGATCCACCGCTCGGAGGAGGAGGCCGGTACGTTTGAGGATGAGGCCCTTTCTGAGAGCGACTACAAGGCCGTGCCCATGCGACGAGATACTCTCGTCATCTGGCCCAACGGTAACATTGTCATGCGCTTCAAGGCCGACAATCCCGGTGTCTGGCTCTTCCACTGCCACATCGAGTGGCACGTCGCCTCCGGCCTCCTCGCCACCTTCGTCGAGGCGCCCCTCGACATCCAGAAGCAGTTCACCATTCCCGACGACCACCTCGCCGTCTGCGACGCCGGAAGCGTTCCCACCAAGGGCAATGCCGCCGGCAACGCCGCCGACTTCCTTGACTTGACGGGCGAGAACAAGGCCCCTGGCACCATCCCCGGCGGGTAAGCAAATACAATACCCCCCCCCCTCTTCCCTCTCTCTTCTTCGCCCCTTTTTCTGTAAACGAATGATGAACTCAAACTGACATGAATTCTTGCTTCAAAAACAGCTTCACTCCCCGCGGCATCGTCGCCCTCGTCTTCAGCTGCATCACCGGCGTCCTCGGCGTCCTCGTCGTCGCCTGGTACGGCCTCTCCACGCCCCTCGAGCTCGTCCCCGCGGCAGTCGCCCGCGTCGTCGAAACTTCCGAGGTCGCTGATGATGATGATGGCCACCACTCCTCCTCCTCCGCTGGTGCTGCGGGCAACGGGTCTGGGGCTGCTGCTGCTGCTGCCGGGGCTGCAACTCTGAGGAGCTGATAAGAAGTAGTAGGCTTTGCTTTTTTTGTGTTTCCGTGTCATAGGGGTGGGGGTGGGAGGAGGTATATATAGGCATTGGTTTCCTATGCTGGTGTTTGCATCATGTGGATGGGGTGAAGAGTATAATGGGCCGTATAATGAATTTCACTGGAATAAAAAGTCTTGAGATACCCTGATCTCATTTTTCTCGTCTTGAATGCACCTTGGTGATTGGCATAAATATCGTGTCAAGAGTCACTTTGAAACCCCCTCGTGCAGTGGTACAGTACCACTGAATCTACAGGTACTAGGTAATATCAATGGAGAAATGAAATCGGGAACAGAATGAAAAAGGAAAGAAAACCCTTATTAGGGAGTACATGTATATACAGCGAAATAAGTACGAACAAGAGCAAGTACAGATTTGATCAAGCCCCGATAGATGGAGAAGAGCCCCAGACAGATGGAGAAGCGCTGAGAAAAGGTAATCTAAATAACAAGCAAAAAGAGAAAGAAAGGAACGTAGTAAGTAAAAAAAAAAGGACGGCTATCAAATCAGCTCTTGGTCTTCGAAAAATCTCCCGAGTTTTTTTCTCTTCTTTTTTATATCCCTTCGTCCCATCTGCCCGTGCCTTTGTATGTATGAGGGCAGAATTTCAGTAGTTTCACGATCTGCCACCCGACTTTGTTGTTGTTGTTGTTGTTGAGCCCCCGTTTACGCCAAGCCATGCAATACCGTTATTAACAGCTGCTCCTCGAGAAGGGTAGAACCGCCAAGAGAAGGCTGACGCCGTGTCATCCACCAAGACAATACCCATGTTGCCCAAAAATGAGACAGGCCTGTGAAACACACTCTTTCGCCTGTTTCTGCCCGCGATAAGAAACAATTCCCTTCAACTCTGCAATATCCTTCCAACAAGTATGGCGTGTACATGCGGAGCAGCTTCACACACCCTCATCTGTTCAGTAGCTCATTGGCTGCCTGCCTCGTAGCGCCCTTACATGCCGAATCTGTTCGCCAGCTTGGCAGCTGCCTCATCGGTTTCGTGACAACCGCAGATGGTCTACTCCGTATAGATGCCCGATTAAGCCTTCTTGTTGAGTCCCTTGGCCCTGCGTGTTTTGACGTCAACCTCGGCAAGCCATCTGCTCGCCTTGATCAGCTGGACCACATTGATAATCTGCTTAGCCAGCATGATGGGGAAGCTGATGCCGGTGATGATCCAGGGGACAGTGGAGTCCATCTTGTTCGCTCGGGCGAGCTCGAGGGCGGCAGCGCTGAAGGGATCGGGGAACAGTTGTCGGAGAAGCGAGGTATTGACCGGGACACCAGGCTCGATCAGTCCACCGCTGGTCTGCTCCACGCTCTTTATGAGGTGAGGCGAAAGGAGGGGCGACGAGAAGGACAGGAGATAGAGCGCAATGAAGAAGACTTCGTTGAAGAGGCAGAAGATGAACAGTACGGTCTAGAGCGGATTTGGTCAGCTTTCAGAACGCCTCGATGGCGGGGATCGGGGGTCGTGGGTCGGGGCATGCGAACCTTGTTGGTGTAGTACAAGTTCAGCAACCAACTCTGGCTCTTGTCAATGTTCTTGTGGCTCGAGTCGGTGCCGCCGACCACCAAAGTGGCATACATGTGCATGTAGTGGCTGGAGAAGTCGAGCGCAATCAGGCCCTGGAAAATAATGGCCCATCGGGGAAAGGCCGAAGACAGAAAGACCAGCAAACACGAGGTGGTACAGCGGTCGGTGACCATGTCCAGGACGGCGCCGAACCGGGTCGACTGGTTAAAGGCCCTGGCGGCATATCCGTCGAGGGCGTCGAGCAAGCATGAGATGCTGTAGAGCAGGGAGCACGTGCGAGGGTGCAGCGGCATGTAGTACAGAGACGCAATGGCGAGCACGATTCGGCAGTATCCTGGCAGCCAAGCAAGTGTCAGCAACGAGTCGCCACGACGTGTTCGCACCTGTCACGGAGCCTGTGCCGCCGGGACGGGGCGCATACCTATGATGTTGGGCCAGAAGAGAAAAATGTTCTCGTCCGGGTCAGAGTCCGAAGCTTCCGGCGCATCGCGAGCTGAGCCGTTGCCGTCCACGACAGGAGTAGCCCGGTCGTCGTCGGAGCCGTGCTCGAGCTTTTCCTGGGCGGCGCGCCGTCGAGTCCGAGGTGCCGACATGATGGAGGAGGGGCGAGAGCTGCTATCGCGAGGCTGAACCGCCAAAGACGGGAGGTGCAGAGCTGCCGACGAAGCTCGCGTGATTAAAGGCCGAGGGACGTGGCGGCTTCTCTTTATACGCCCGGGAGAGTCGCAGAGGGAGGGGCTCGAGTTTGGCAAGCGACACAAGAGGTGGGCAGCAGCAGGAAAAGCAGCGGGACCTGCCGTTGACGGAGAGCAGAGCGTTGACGGGCGGAGGAGAAGATAAATTGATCGATAGATAGCAAATGTTGGGCGAAGGAGCGGACGTGAATGGAAAAAGAGTTGCAGAGTTCAGGAGAGCTTGGTTGGAAAAAGCAAAGCTCCAGCCTTAGCACCGACTTACTTATTACTCTAGCAGCAGCAGAAGCAGTCCATGGTGGCGGACACGGTGTCGCAAATGGCTGTTTGGCGGGCGCCCGGGTGCCAAAGTTGGTGTCAGCCCTGCACCGCCCACCTGGGCTGACGGCGGCTGCACGCTGCGGTGCGCCAGATACGACTAGCACAGCGGGTGTGGATTCGTTGTCGCGGCAGTACCTGTCACTTGTACTTTGTAATTGATGAGCGGCCTCAAATCTCCGGCTCTGCGCTCACACCACGAAATGGGGGATACTGTAGCATCAGCTTGAATTTGCACCCTGGAGGAGTCATCGGAGGGAGCGCGAGGCCTCATCTTGGCCGTCACCGAGCGTTGATTGATTCTTCGACTTGCTTCGCTGGCAGCCATCCTCAGCCTCCATTCCTCTGGCCTTATAGGCTGATGATTCGTATGCCGTGGCTTTGACGCGCAAACGGCAATGTTACGGCCCCAGTCCGTAATTTCGGGCGGGCTTACGGAGGACAAAGTAGAAATTGGGAGAGCGTCACCGAGCGAGGCTGCATGTCTGCCTGCTTCGGAAAGACGTCCAGAATTCGAGGCGACGGGCCGTTATTATTGTCCGAGCGAATCATGATTATATTTTACTAGGCAAACGCCTGTGCTAGACATGACACTGCCGTGCTCCTGAAGCTTGGGCTACAGGTCGCCCGTAAAACAGCTTCGGCGTCGCTCGGCATCTTCAGCTTGGGGAGCTTGAGTTTGCGCGTTTGCAAATCATCGAACGCATGCACCAGGACAACACCGCTGGACTCTGATCGAGAAGGTTTTCTGTTATGATTGAGCTGGATGAACGAGACATAATAGCCACGTAACTCGTATGTCATTTGATCAGCATCACCATGTGGAGACGAGGTTTTGGCGTCGTGAACTGGGTGTCAAAGGATGTTCGGCATCTCGATCTTACTTAAGCAAGGCCCGGTTTACAGCTATGAAGCGTCGACTTTAGTAGTCTAACAGGTAGGAAGTCACAACCGCCCCTCTTTGGCTCAAATGGAGCATGTCTGCCAAATCATAGACTCCTCTCTTTTCTTCTCCTTCTTCTCATCGTGAGCCCATTCTCTTGTCAATTGAGCATCCGCCGTCTTCCCGGTGCTTGAACGGTGCTTGAAGATGGCGCATCTCATCACCGTCGCAACATGCTCCCTCAACCAGTGGGCGCTGGACTGGGAGGGCAATCTCTCCCGGATCCGCACCAGCATCCTCAAGGCCAAAGAAGCTGGAGCAAGTCTGCGAACAGGCCCTGAACTGGAAATCAGCGGCTATGGATGGTAGGCATCTTGTTCGCCATGCGCTGCATCAGTCGAGTTGGTACTAACTGTGACAGTCTTGACCACTTTCTCGAGTCTGACACCTATGACCATGCCATGGAAATGCTGTCCAAGATCCTAACGGATCCCTCTCTCCATGGCATTCTCATCGATGTTGGCCTCCCCATTATGCACCGAGGCTGCAGATTCAATAGTCGCGCAATCATTCTTGATGGAAAGCTCATATGCCTTCGCCCCAAGATGTACCTGGCCAACGATGGGTGAGTATGATGACTGTCTCGAATCGTGGTTATCGAGATGACAGCCCGGGAATTGTTAGGTGTAAGGCAAGCGACTAACATATCGCAACAGAAACTTCAGAGAGAACCGTTTCTTTACGCCATGGCATCGCCCCAGACATGTTGAGATGTACAATCTGCCGCCCCAGATACAGGACCACCAGGGCGTTCGACAGATCCCTATTGGCGACGTCATCTTGTCTCTCAACGATACGACGCTTGCAGCCGAAACCTGCGAGGAGCTCTTCACACCCCAGGCACCACACATCAACATGTACGTCTTGCCTCTTAAACGATAGATGCCCTTCGCCATGAAATTCGATCTTCTTGCTCTTCCTCTGGCCAACTCCAACGCCTGCATCTACTAACTGGTTTCCAGGGGCTTGAACGGTGTCGAAATCTTCACAAACAGCTCGGGATCTCACCACAGCTTGCGCAAGCTCAACGAAAGAATCGCCTTGATCCAAGAGGCAACCCGAAAGAACGGCGGCATCTATCTCTACGCCAATCAATCAGGTGTGTGTTGTAGAGCACTGTCCTTTGCCCACTCCCCTGCTGACCGTTCATAGGCTGTGATGGTGACCGTCTACTTTACGACGGATGCTCAATGATCATGGTCAACGGCGAGATTGTCGCCCAGGGCGCGCAGTTCAGTTTGGAGGACGTTGAAGTGGTGACGGCAACGGTCGACCTCGAGGAAGTGCGGGCACACCGCTGCGCCCCGTCTCGAGCCTTCCAAGCCATGCAGGCGCCAGCCTACGACAGAATCGAAGTGGACTTTCGACTTACGCATGAGACCACCAGCATCATGGAGATCCCCACGCCGACCCGGCCACCGAGATATCACCTCCCAGAGGAAGAGATTGTACGTGATCTCAGCTTCTTTGCTCAAAGTGCCAAGGCCACTGGTTCTCCAACAAGGTCGGAAGCCGCTAACTTCAAGTTTCAAACAGGCTCTCGGCCCAGCATGCTGGTTGTGGGATTACCGTGAGTTTCTGGCCTATCCCTTTTGGACGTTGAAGACATCTGTTCATCTCCGTCGTCAATGTAATGAGCGCATATACTGACATTCAACGCAAAGTGAGACGAAGCAAAATGGCAGGCTACCTGGTGCCCCTCTCAGGAGGCATCGACTCATGCGCCACGGCTACCATTGTATACAGCATGTGTCGGCTCGTGGTTCAGGCTGTCAAGGACGGCAACAAGGAAGTCATTGCTGACGTCAAGAGGATTGCTGCTTTCTCTGAGAAATTGCCTGAAACCCCTGAGGAGTTTTGCAACCAAATCTTCCATACCATCTATATGGGCATGGCCAACCAAAGCAGCAAGGAGACTCGACAGCGCGCCCAGGACCTCGCCAACCGTATCGGAGCCTACCATACCGACTTGAATATTGACGACACCTATCATGCCACGAAGAATCTGCTTACGCAAGGCACGGGCTTTGAGCCCAAGTTTAAGGTGCACGGAGGATCAAACACTGAAAATCGTATGTTCTCCTCATGCCAGTTGTCATTAAAAGCCGAGCTTTGTGGACGAGCCGCTAATTTCCGCAGTGGCGTTGCAAAATATCCAGAGCCGTTCTCGCATGGTCATTGCCTACTACTATGCGCAGATGCTGCCAATGGTTCGACAACGGCCCGGAGGAGGCAGTCTGCTGGTCCTGGGCTCCAGCAACGTGGATGAATGCCTTCGAGGATGTGAGTTGCTACACGCGATGTCTTGATAGCCAGGCGTGTGCTGATAGCTTGCGTACAGATCTCACGAAATACGACTGCAGTTCGGCCGACATCAACCCCATCGGATCCATCAGCAAGTCCGACCTGTAAGTCACCCGTACAATGCGAAAAAGAGACACGGCTTGATTATGATGCTGATGTACATTGAAAGAAAACGTTTCATTGCCTGGGCAAGCAAGAATCTCGATATGCCGATCTTGGAGGACTTTATTCACGCTATTCGTAAGTCAATGTGTGGCATATCATGTTTCTTTTACTGACGACAAATAGCTACGGCCGAGCTTGAGCCCATCACTGAAAACTACGTCCAAAGCGATGAAGGTACGTAAAGGCTACATTCAATGATGGAAGCGTTGTTAAACTGATAAAAAACGCAGTCGATATGGGCATGACGTATGATGAACTGTCCCGCTTCGGTGTAAGTAAAGCTCTTTGACAATAACATTGGACTGAGAAATAGCTAATGAGCCTTTCAAAGACGTTGCGCAAGCAACACAATCTAGGACCGTATGGAATGTTCCTGAGGCTGCTCAACGAATGGGGTGGCCATGGCAAACTGAGCCCGCGTGAGATCGCCGACAAGGTCAAGCGCTTTCACCATTACCATTTCATCAACAGACATAAGCAGACGGTGGCGACGCCTGCGTAAGTATAACCTTTCCCGTCAGCCGAATCCGAGATGGTTTCGCCTTCTAACATGCCTCATCACAGCTATCACGCCGAATCCTACTCTCCAGATGACCACAGATTCGATCTCCGTCCCTTCCTTTACCCGCCTGCGTTTGAGAGCTGGTCGTTCAAGAAGATAGATGAGAGGGTGGTGGCTCTGGAGAAGGCTATGGAGCGGAAACAGGCTAAACAATAGAAGGGAAGATACGCCATGCAGAAGATAGATGCTTCTCCATAGCCGGATACTCTGCTGTCCGAAACCGTGTTATATAGCTTCCTGAATGATAGAGTGGTCTACTCTAGACGTGGCAAGTGGCATTGTTTCGAAGCTCACGCGCGTCTCACCTTTTACCCGATTATCGGCTTTGGGCAGATGTGACTGGTTACGATTTTTCGACTGCTGCCGGTAGGTATCTTCTCACGAACCGGCTTTCATGAAGGGTAACGAGTCAGGCTACTTATGGTCGCTGCCAACAGCATACTCGTATACGATCATGTATATCGTTTCTGAGTGAAGGCCATGGCAGCCAACATGTCACCAACAACAACTTTACACACAGCAAGCATCTTTTGTACTAGTACTCGTAGGCGCGAACATGGTTACATTCGGATAATGTACTTACCAACAACAAGAGCAACACTAACTACT